AGAGCTTGTCGATGTCCTTCATTGCATAACATTTTTTTTTCTTAGAAAAATAGAGAAGAGAAAAAAAGCGCAGAAAAAAAAACTGTTTTTTGTTCCTTAGGAATATAATTTTAGTCAGAATAAAATGAATTTTGATTTTTTTTTTGATTTTATAAGATTTTTATAAATTGAAGGTTTCTTAAAGTTGATTAGAATAATTTTCCTTCAAAGAAATGAAATCCTCGATATATGTGGCTTGACGTAAAACTACGATTCCAAATTTCTATGCAATACTTTTGTTGTCTATGTTAAATATGTATAATGACGATGTTTAATTATTTTAATTATTATTGATATTTTTTCTTCGATCTCGGCTGAGATTTTTTTTTTTAAGAATAGTCATTCTATAAGGCTTGTTAATTTATTTCTAGATCAATATAATTGTATATAAGCTACGCGATTTTCAGATATCAAAATTCATCGTCAATAATTAATGACACTAATGATAAAAAATATCTGATAATTTAGATCACACATGACCATAATCCATTAATCGATTCAACGAACCATTGTTTAGCTATATTATATCGGTATCGTTTTTCATTATTTTGTGAAGCCGCATAAAATGTCGTCGTATCAGCTATTGTTCTCATCTATTTCAGTGTTTGTAGGCCACTTTTATCCGTTTAGTTTTAAATTTCTATTGAATATTTAAATAATATATTTAATTATATATTCACTGAGGATTTATTTTCATTATTCTTCTGCGGAATATGAATGTTGAAGGTTATAGCAATAAACTTGTATCCATCCATTGATTCTCTTCGCATCATAGATTGTAATAGACAGAAATGTCTGTTGTCAATTTATAACGAACGTTGATAAAAATAAAAAAAAGGAAATTAATATCACCACACAAACTATGATAGACATGTTGAAGTAATTTCTCGATGATTAGCTAATGCGAAAGGCATTAGTAGATAATGGATTTTTTTTTCTCTGACTTTTTACTATTTGATTTTCAAGTTATTTTAAACCTATATTAATTACTATAAAAGCATTCGATTCTTTTGCATATTATTATAAATAAGTTTCTCATAATGGCAATAAGACTTTTTTTGAAAATTCTTCTAGTTTATATTACCAATTCACGCTATCAACTCTTACATTTTTTTATATTTATCATTATTACCTAAAAGATATTTTAATTCTTGTTTAACTGAACATTCTTTCTATCCAGATGGCGCTATATACCAAGTGAACTTATTTACAATCCATTGAAATCCATTATTTGCCCTTGACACCTTTGCCAATCAATAAGTAGTAAATGTATGTAATGCAACATTCGTTCGTGCTCTCATCATGCATTATAACCGCAGAAAGAACCTGACGACGCATGAAAGCAGCACAAGAAATGTATAAATGAATGAATGAACGAACGAACGAACGCGACGACGCGACCTCGCAGAAGGTTAATGCATGCATTCATATGTATACGTAAGTGATACTTTTTCTGTATGCATTGACAGGAAGCGAAGGTGTTCCGTCCACAATGTTCTGTCCCGACGTCGCGACACTTGATAAATCTTATAATTTTTTTAAATAATTTAATTCAATTTTATTTTAGATAATTCTTTTCTTCTCTGTTTTTAATTTCAGCCATGTTACATGATGTGTGCTGTAGTCAAACACCTACTCGTACTCGTAACCCACTTTTTCGACATCGATTACATGTAAGTATGGAGTTTGAATAATAATCAATTCACATTAGAATCTTGTCTTTTCTACTCTAGTTTATTTTATTAATTGAACATTCTTTTTAAAATTTTTTTCCAAAGATTAATAAGAGAAGTACTTATTTTCCCTTGCAGTGTTTATTCGTGCATGATTTGATTCTTTATTTTATTATATATAATATTATCTTCAATTTCTTATTTTAGAATTCTCCGAGTCCAGCATCAGTTCTATCATTGACACCATCGCCAACAACAGGCATGATTCAATCGGCAGCACCCGGTGAATTTTCGCATCGTTGTGCTACAGTACCATTTGATTCAATCTATAATATAACTGAAGATCTTTGCCGGTAATTAATAAATTTTTCTTTCTTTTTTTTCTTTTGTCTATGAATACAATGTATAATTATTTTTTCTAGTGGTCGTTTTTCATCTGTTAAAAAATGTGTAAAAAAAGAGACACCTGATCAAATATTTGCAGCTAAAATAATTAAGAAACGTAATATACAACATGCACTTAATGAATTACGTATATTCCAATTATCACATAAACATCCAAATTTTGTTTCACTTCATCAAGTATTTGATTTACCAACAGAAGCAATTTTTATTCTTGAATAGTAAATAATATAATAATAATAATATATTTTCTTAAATTATCGTTTTCTTTTTTTTTTTTACTATTCTAGTGCAAAACAAGGTGATTTACAATTAGCACTTGAATTAGAAGGTTGCTTAGAAGAAATACAAGCTATACATGTTACTAAACAAATCTTAGATGCTGTAGCTTTTCTTCATGATAATAAAATAGTTCATCTTGATATCAAAGTAAATTGATTATATGTGATAAAAAAAAGAACTTTGAATTAAAATCATTGTTTTATTTAGCCTCAAAATATTCTTCTTATGGAAAAATGGCCAAGTACACAAATAAAATTATGTGATTTTGGTCTTTCTCGTGTATTGACTAATCAACGTTTATTAGAAATGTCGGGTACAACAGATTTTCTTGGTAAAAAAAAGTTTTATTGATTTTTTTATTTTCTTGTTTTCTTTTTGTTTTCATTTTAAGCACCTGAAGTTGTCAATTATGAACCATTAACATGTGCTACTGATATGTGGAATATTGGTGTATTAATTTATGTACTTGTAACTGGTCATACACCATTTGGTGGTGCTACTAAATTAGATACACAAAATAATATAACACATTGTATACTTGATTTTCCATCAGATTTATTTGAAAAAATCTCAAAAAAATGTATTGATCTCATTCGAAAATTAATTGTTCGAACACCAAAGTAAGTAATAGAAAGGATTAATTTTTTTTTTTCGTATGTTGAATTATGTTTAGACGTCGAGCAACAGTTCATGAATCTCTTAAACATCCATGGATATGCCTTAATGAAGAAACAACGTCATCAAATGAACAAATAATTGATTCACTCGATGAAGAAGAAGAAGAAGAAGTTGCAGAAGAAGAAATCGATGAATTAACAAATGAAATTGATGCTCAAAATTTCAATTGAAATAGGCCTTTTTTTCTTTGTTTTTCTTTTTCTTCGAACAACTTCCTTTTTCTGACAGTATTGAATGAACCATCTCTTTTTTCTTTCTTGTGTGATAAGTTGCAGTGCTATGTGTGTGTGTATTAGATAATCCAGGATCAAAACTCTGCATTTCTTTTTTCTTTTGTTTGTTCTTGCTCTTTACGCAATTTTTTTTTTTCGTTGTCTTCTATTGAAAATTCTATCTCAGATATCTTTCTTTTTTTGTAAAAATTTATGACAAACAGGTAAAAACTTAGTAGTTTTTGTTACGATCATATTGTACTTTATTCATCTCAGGGACTATATTAATTTGAGAAATAAGCAGGTACAGGAATTGTTTCTGTTTTTTTTTGTTTGTTTTTTTTGTTCTGTTATTGTTCTTCTTCTTTTCTTTTCTTATTATTATTGTCGTTGACTTTGTCAATACGTCAGTGATCTTTAACACCATAGGTGTCTACGTACAAGTTCAGTAACAGAAAAGCAAAAAAAAAAAAAGAAAAAGAAAAAGACAAAGTCGATTTTTATTGAATGATATAATGTTAGAACGAAAGAAAAAAAGCCAACAAGATTCTTATGTGCAAAAGTATTTAGTGAAAAACCAAATAAATCCATTGGATTTAAAATAAAGTTATCTATATCAAAGCTATTGAACAAAATCCTTTTTTTCTTATCTCAATAAGATTAAACGTCAATTGAATAGTATGTTATACATCGATTAAATTGAAAAAAGTAAATATTTAGTATTCAATTTACTAATAGCTCTTGAATGATATGCAATAAGAATGTGCAAATCTTCTTCAACAAATATTGACTTATACATGCAATCATTGAATTGTCATAGATCATGTCCATTAGCATGTAAAGATTGTATTTATAAGTATGTCTATCAATGCAACAGTGTCTTTGTTACATAATGAAAAGTAGGAGATGGTCTTTCGGTTTTCTTCTAATCATATGAACGATATTTTTTTAAAATAAAATTTCAATAATACAAATAATGAAAAAGAATTGCAGTGTTTTATAATGAATTTATAATCTTATTATTGAATCGCTTATACTCTTGGTCTACAATAATAAAAGAGCAATACAATAAATTCTAGATTTCACGTGAGTTTTGAAAATTTCCAAAACAATTAAATAAATTGGAAACGATCATCAACAGAAAAAGTAATGATTATGATTCTATAGGATAGCACAGTGTTCATGTGACTATTTATGATGCTTTATACAAATGTGAACCAGTCTTATGTCACAAAAACCGAAATAGAATAGTCTTTCTTCAGAACAAATGTCTACTCAAGGAAAATTCGATTATTTCTAGTTAAAAGAAATTAAGTTATCTTGATTAAGTACCAAGTAGTGTTCTGCAAACTTGTTGGGTTGGTTCTATTCTCAAGAATGATGCCCATAGCAGGCTCAACTTGGCAATTAATGAAATCACAATGTTCCAAAAATACTTTTACTTTTTTCAAATTGTTAACTTTTATAAAAGTATAAGAGTGAAAAATGGTTTGATAATGATTGAGCAATTTATTTTACTTGATAATAGGTCAGAGAAGTTGAAAGTGTTATTGTTTTATTAAAACAAATCGTTTTTAATGAAAATTCATCTACAGATGATGATTAAGTAACTGAATACATGAAGAGAAAAATGAATTATCAAAAAAGTGAACATGTATTATCGTCATGAAAAAAGTATTCATGTATGCATCTACAATATAATATTAGGTGCCAACACACTGCGTTCTATTCCAGTGTCATCAATAACAACCAAATGTATACTTAGTGAAATTGATTAGATTTTATATGTAGAAAGACACCAAGTAATCACTCGCCTTTTTGTGGACTTTTAGATGATCTCTTGTTTTTTTGTTGCTGCTTATGGGAGAAACTTTATCGTATACTTATTCATATCAAAAATAGCTTGACACTATCTGTCGGCTGTCGATTAGCTCCGGTCGGGTACCAGATATAACTATCTCAGTCTGGCTGCAATGAGTCATACTCCTGCTAAACACTGGTATCGATCAGATATGAATCAAAAAGTAAATAGCAATAAACATTTTTAGCGACAGTTTTACATTGATGAGTATCATAAAATGTTTAAAATCAAAATATTCATCCTTTCATGAATTTTCCTATTTAAAATGAAATATATCTAGATGTCGTACATTTACAAATGATATGATCATCGATTTTTTTAATACAAAAAAAAATTTTAACTTGTAGATATCAAATAAATAAATTTCTTTTTTTTAAGTTTTGAAAAATCTATTAAAAAACTCTTGGTTTCTTTTATCAATTTGAACTATTATGATTCGTAGAAAATATTTTCACGTAGAGAGACAGAGACAGATATAGATCGATTAGAATAAAATAGATAGTGAAAAAATGTTTTACTTAATTTCGGAAAGAAAGAAATGAATATGATTTATTGTCTTTTTGCGTTTTGATCTATGTCAACTTCTATGTATTCTTTAGATTTAAAGTCTTACAAAATACCTATCGTTCAATCGATAATACACCAAAAGTACGAAAAAAAAACTAACAAATGGAACAAGGTGATCAAACATCGTCTAGTGGTTCATCAAACAATCTCGATGTTGTATCGATGGTTATTTGGTTATCAACAGGAAATGGCAAATTTTTTGAATTAGTAAGATAAAATAAGGAATATATTAGAAAAAAACTTTTTTTTTGTTCTACAATTAAGCACGGATCTCGTGATATAATTAAACAAGTATTACCTAAATCATCTGAGACTGCTTTTCGTTGGGGTTATTACAATTCTCCAGCCGATCCTGATCGACAATCATATACACAAGTTCTTGAAGCATTTCTTAAAGCTGGTTTTCGTATTGAAGGTTCATCAGGTGCCGGTACACAAGGTCTTCTTCGTACTCAATATATACTTGTTAAACGTACTTCTTCATAAAACAAAACAAAAGAAAGATATCCATCTACTATTCTAATAGAATACATTTTTTTTCTTTGTTTGTCCTCTCAGGAAAACTTTTGATTTATTTGTTCTTTTTATTCATTAAACGATTTCTTTTTCTATATTATTCTAGTCTCGTAGTTTTCTTTTCTTGTTGATGCTGTTTCATGAAGGGTATTATTTGTGTGTGTTTATGCATATGTATTATCATTTATTTGATTTCATAGTGTTATTTCCTAAGTTAACGTTGATTATAGTTTGTGGTTGTAAAAACAAAAACAAAAAAAAAAAAAAGAAATACTCCTTGGTTATGGTTTTGTTTTCAGATTAGAATTAATGTCGTCACCAACATTAAATCAGCGCTTTGAAATACTTTCATTACTTGTTCGAAATGTTCTTACATCAAATTCGAAAAATTTTCAATTACACGGTGATAAACAAGTTATAACGCAAATTTTACCAACAGCACCTGAAAGAGCTTTTATAACAAATGACTGTTATGATTCAAGTTTTGATCTTGGTTCAATAACATACATTGATATTTTACAACGTTTATTAAGATTAGGTTTTCAAATTCAATCGTCATCAGGCGGATCGTACAGTTTACCGAAATCAGAAAAATCGATCATTAAAAGCGAACCCCAACATATCGCACCACAGGATACATTCGTTCTTCAATATACACTTGTTCGAACGCATACTGTGGGTTAAAAAGAAAAAAGAATGATCTGTGCTCAACAAGTACTCTCGCTAAACTTTTCTGTATTGTCTGTTCGATATTATTTTCCCTGTTTGTTTTTTCTCTGTCTTATTAATTTTATTTTACTCTTCCGGTTTATCTGGTATAAACGAAACAACAGTGTTTCGATGAAAATAAAAAAAAAAAGGAATGATAATCTCTTATAATATTTGTAGAATATATATATTAATAAAAAAAAAATCTTAGTCACAAAACCCTTCAAGCTATATTATTCTTTCATATTCAAAATTTTCGATTAGAACAAACAGAAAAAAAAAATTCTTCTCATTTATGTACAATTGATTACTTCATTTTATTTTAGATTATATACGTTTTAAGACTTATTAGCTAAGAAAATGGTTTCTCGTTATATAAAAAAATTATTATGAAGAACTGCACAAATCATCGACTAGTAAGAATGTGTTCTTTTCGTATATGTATATATGGCACTATTTAATAGAAATACTCTAAATACAAAAACCTTGACAGCTTCTATATAAGTCATGATGACGCCCACTTTTCTCTTTCTGTCTTAATTCAAAAGGACAGCAAAGCGCACATGCGAAAATTTTGATTACTATAAAAGAATGGGGAGCAGGAACAAAAGAATGTAAAGACAGAAAGAAAAAAAAAACACTTCGAAAAGTTTCTCTTTTTTTCGCTTTTTTTTTTCATCAACACATTTTATTTCTCACTGTTTTATTTCGTTTCGATGGCGTCGTTCTTTTTCTTCCTTTTTCTAATTTGAAAGAAACAAAAATTGTGAACACCTCACTTATTCCAAATGAAAAGTAATGTAGTTCATTTGAATCTTTACCTTGACACAGTTTCTTATGAAGACTTTCAAATCAACATAAAAAAAAAAGTAAAAGTCAATTTGAAATCATAAAATCATATATTTCTATTTCTATATGGCTTATTTTTATGGCGACAATAATCGTGATGTAGCAATTCTTTCTTTTTCTTTTTTTAGCTAGTGTTTAGTACATTGAATTCATCACAACAACTATAAAAGCATGTAATTCATTCATCAGATACAAAAGAAAAAAAAATGGAACATTCGGAACTTGTTCAAGAAATGGTACTGTTAGAAAAACTAACGGCGCAAGAACGATTAAAACATGCTAAACGACGACGACAACAGCAACTTGCCAATTGGGCACGCCGTGAAGCATCATTAAATAATAGTACAATAATATCATCAACAATGACAAATGGAAGTCTAACATCAATATCAAATCATAAAAAATCTAAATCAATTCGATTAAAAGATTTTTTAGTTCAATTTCCTGAAAATATCGTTTTATTAGAAGGTAAATAAATATTTTCTTTCTGTTTTTTCTTTTCTTTTTCGTTAGTGTAATTGTTAGATCAATAATACGTTTATCTAAAACAAATATTTAGAAAAAGAAAAAGAAAGATTATTATCTTTTTATTTTACGTTGTTTTTCTTTTTTCTTGGGTTTAAAAAAAAATAACATTTTACTTTCATTGTTGAAGTATATCGTCGAGTGGTTTTTATCGGCTGATTGAATATAAGTTTTATGTTTAATTCTAGCTACTGCACGTCAAGATGTTGACGAAGTACGGACTCTTCTTCAATCAGGAAAATATAATCCAAATACGGCTAATGAAGATGGTCTTACACCAATTCATCAATGTTCAATTGATAATAGTGATCAAATATTACGATTATTAATTGAATATGGTGGTGATGTTAATGCAAAAGATCGAGATTTATGGACTCCATTACATGCTGCAGGTAAATACAAAGCTTTCTTAATTAAAAGAAATGAAATAATAGAGAAATCTAATTTGTTTTCGGTAGATAAGAATCTGATTTTGATTGAAATTTTCATGATTTAAATCGGATTGTTGAACTTCATTATGTATTGAGATCATATTCGACAGGAACTAAATTAGTTTCAAGATTGAAGTAATATCCGGAGTTTATTTATTATGAATCAGTGAAAGTATTACCAAATCTTTTTTTCTATTAAAATATAAGAGTTTCTTAAAAGCGATTGCTTGAAGAAATTTTAAAACTATTTGTGCAATCCATTTAGAATTTTTTGATTGCCAGAATTTCACTATTGCCGCTTCATAATCAATTTAATAACAAAATAGTTAGCCAAAAATGCTTATCTTTAGAAGCGTAACTCAGCATAGAAAGCAAAGAGCAGAGAGTGTTGGGGTCCCAGAACAAAAGACGTTGCATGAACAATTTTTAAAACCTAGGGAACATCGTGCTTCTGCTTATCTCTCTACACTTAAGAATTAAAATCTCGAACTTTGTAAGTTAAACAGAGATGTATTGAGACTTTCTCCTAAGAAACCGGAACATCATATTATCTCAAGGCAACCAATAGTATACTATATTAAAGATAGTTCATGAAATGGTATTCGAATATTAGAGTCTAATAGAGGACTCATACTAAATATGAGCCAGACAAATTATGGAACAATTGACGTGAAGGTTTCTGAACAAAAACGTTCCTTCGTTTGTCGATCGATTATAGGAGTCAAAATTTTGTCCTTCTTTCAAATCTATTTTCGCAATTTTTGTGAGACTCATAAGTTTAGAGTTATGAACAAATATTTGAGAGTTTCCAAAGATAAAATTTTCACGGATTTCAGTAGGTCGAAAAGGCCAATCATTGCAATTCTGAACAAAATAATATCCTAATGTTTAGTTTTCTTTGACATGTTCGAAGATCTTTGATTTTCAGACTTGCCAAATCAATTTGATTATTTCTGAAGAGTTGCTACAAGACTTTCAATTCTTAGCCTATTTTATTGAAGACTTTTTCGCTCTCTACGCTATACATAATAATTGGTAATAGAAGGTATTTAATAAGAATATTATTGCTTTGAAGAACGTATATTGTTTGGATGTTAATCCAAAAACTATCAGAACCTGATGCAATCAAGCAAACGACAGTGCGACTAAGCTAAATTGAACACCTTTGTATTGAAAATAAAATAAAGTTTAAATTTTCTGTTAAGTCCCGTAATCAGTCGAAAAATTACAAAAAAATTTTGTCTCGCAACTTTCGCACTATCTTCTATTATAGAATTTGGTCATTTTTATTTTCATTTATTTTCTAGCTACTTGTGGTCATATACAAATATGCAGAATTCTTATAGAAAATGATGCTGAATTACTTGCTTTAAATGCTGATGGTAATATGCCCTATGATATATGTGATGATGATCAAACTCTTGATTATATTGAAACTCAAATGGATCGTATTGGTATAACACAAGAAATGATTGATAAAACAAGAGCACAAGTTGAAAATCAAATGTTATTTGATTTAAAAATATTAGCTAAAAAGTCTTTATCATCAGTACGTTCAATAGATGATATTCTATCATATAGAAATCATGAAGGTGCAACACCACTTCATATAGCTAGTGCTAATGGGTATCAAATTGTTGTGGAATATTTACTTCAACAACATGTATCAATTAATCTTCAAGATGCTGATGGTTGGTCACCAATTCATGCTGCAGCATTTTGGTGTCAACAACCTATACTCAGTAAGAAATATATGAAATAAGAACAAAATATATACATAAAATAGTAGACGGAAGTCCCTCTTCTCTACTAGATCTCAGCTATTATAGATACTGGAAGTCTGAAGATTTGTGCGTATATAGCACACCGAGGGTGTAGGTCAAAGTCACTAGTTTTCCCTGATTACTTAAACACAACGAGAGTTTTTAATGGATAGGATTTATTTGTCCTTTGAACTTTATACTTCCGAGAAGAAAAAGTTTTATGAGTCAACCGCTCCCTCTTTATTTATGACTGTGTTCCAGCTATGTATGCTATTACTTTCATTGAAGCTTATCGACCATTTTATTGTGATTATTCGAGAGACGAAAAGCTCCTATGATTACATGATTTTTTTTTAGCAGCAAAAGATCATATACTGAGCTTCAGTTACACATAAAAGATATCAATATTTAGTCATGTATGTGATAAAAAGTAATGCAAAATTAAATAGATAACTTTTTCAGGTGAAAAGTTTTTAAGCAAATATAGACACTGTCCATCTTAATTATCGTTACATTCAAGCTATCTGAATGACCTCAAGCCTTGAATATATATACTTGGTGAACTATATACACACAAATTTCTAGATCTCCTTCATGTATAGAAGCTGAGATTAGCTGGAGGACTTTTGTTCACTATTTTGTGTATAGCAAAGTCTATTTTTTCTATTTCTCTTGTTTCTAGCTCAATTAATTGAAGCCGGAGCAGATATATATGAAAAAATCCCAGATGGTCGTTCAGCTGTTGATCTATGTGAAGATCCTGATATACGTACATATATAATCGATTTTCGAGAACAATGTGTACGTAATCAGGAAAAAGCAGCAGCAGCGGCGGCCGCTGCTGCTGCAGCTGCTGCACAGGCAGCACAATTACAACAAAAACCAAATACAACGAATTTAATAAATACTCGTCTTCAAATTGGTACAAATTCTTTACCACATGGTGTAATACCTCGCACAGGTACATTATATGAATCTCGTTCGAGTATATCATCTCCATATGGTAGTGGTTCATCATTAAATCGAACAAGTTCAATACGTCGTGCATCATTACGTGATCGTGAAAAAGTTAAAAAATTAAATGAAAATTTTCTTGATGTATTACAAGCGAAAGATAAAATACAAGAAGATGTTGATGAAAATGCAACAAATCCTACATTAACAAATGAAACAATAACATCAAAAGTTGTTAATAAAGAAGAATGCTCAAGTAGTACAACAACAGACTCAACTGTACGAGAAACAACTACAACAACAAATCCAATAAAAAAATCAACAAATACACTTACTATCGAGTTACCATTACCACCATTAAAAGTCCCACCACCGTTACCACCACCTCAAACAACAGCTGATACATTAAGTGACGTTAAACGGCGACGTGAAGAAAGACGTCGTGGTGTTGGTGGTCCATCATCATCATCAAATATTATTCTTCCTCCTCCTTCACCTCCAACTGTAAAATCATTACCACTACCTACAATTGAAATCAATCATGAAAGTAATAATAAACTATCGAATGGTAATCATCTATCAGCAATAAATGATCCAATACAAAATTATTCAGCGAAAAAATATATTGAAATTCATGGTCATATTCCAGATGATGATCATGAAAAACGAATTTGTTGTACAATTTTGTGATTTAAATATTATCAATATTTATCCGTCCATAAATAAGAAAAAGAACAAAGCTAGCTTCCGTTTTAAATGATAATCTAGACTTGTGCTTGTTATTTTCTATTGAGAAATGAAAAACGACGCATATCTCGTTTGTTTTTTTTTATTCTTGCAATATTGGTGTTCTCTAATGACACTCTTACTTCTTTGTTTTTCTCTATGATGCGTTTTTGTTTTTTTGTTTACTTTTTTTTTCCTCTTATATATACATGTATACTGTTTTGTAAGGGCTCTGCCCGGGCTATCATGTAAGCTGATATACAAAAATAATTATTGCAACATTTCGAATAACAAAAAGAAAAAAAAATTTATTTACAAAAGAAAATGTACTTGTTTCAGTTATTGTAAAGATTTAAAAGTTATTTTGAATATAATATTGCTTTAAATTCTTCATAAGAGACTTTTCCATCATGATCAAGACAATCAGCTTCTGCAATCATTTCTTTAACATCTTCCTAAAAGAAATTAATTTAAAGAAAACAAAAAGAAAAAAGGTACTTGTAATGATTTCTATTTACTTCTGTTATATGTTCACCAAGCCTTGACAGCATATCATAAAGTTCATCTTTATCAATATAACCATCTCGATTTTTATCGAAAACCTTATTGAAACAAAATAATAGAGAAAATTATTTTTCCTTTCTTTTTAATTTACTCTAAAAACTTGATATAATTCTGTATCACTTTCGCCTGTTGATCGACGACATCGCATCATAGTTAAAAATTCATCAAAGTCAACACTTCCATTACCTATATGAAATCGATTATTTAGTTTTTTTATTTTCGAAAATAATTTACCATCAGTATCAACTTTTGATATCACAGTTGAAATATCTTCTTCACTTGGTGAATAACCTAGTGAATTCATTAATGAACGAATTTCATAATTTGATATATTTCCATCTCCGTCTTTGTCCAGCAAAGAAAATGATTCTTCGAATACTAAAATAAACAATAAACTATAGAAATTTTTAATAATTATTAATAAATTATTTACCAGCAATTTGTTCTTCAGAAAAACCATGCACTTCGCTCAATTCTCTTCGACTTTTACCCGTCGTTGTCTAAAGAAATAAATATATTAAAGTATTTGTCTTTTCAAAACATTCTTGTTTTTTTTCATCTAATTTTTGTTTTTGTAAACTTAAAGAAAAACCTACGATAACAACATAAGTTTTTGTTGTCGTAATTGTGCGTGTAATCGATGTACGATTATAAGATGTCGTATGTTCGTAATGACGAGTTGACGAAGATCTTATCGGTGTACAATGATTTTCTATTACTGTATTGGGACTATTGGATAAAGATCTTGTAGAAGAAGTTGCTGTCGTATACATATGCCTACGTTTACAAACTAAGAACATAAACGGGGGCGGATGAATAAGTCAAGATGCCGATGTTGAGATCATGATCTATCATTGACTTGCCAGTACAATATATAATATCTCTGCTTTTGACTCTATTTGTCTTGTATCGTAGGAATACTAAGAAAATGATGGTAGTAATATTTTCCTTTTTCTCTAAACGATTTTGTTACTTGACAAGTATAACTTCAGCTGTAGGGAAAGCTAACACATGATGATCAATCGTCGATTATGAAAGATGCAAAAGAAACTTTCTTCTGCTTTTTCTTCTTGTTCTTCGTTGTCGTCGTTGTACATCAAAATGAAGCCTGTGGATGCACTTGGTTGATATCATAATAAAGAATCATAAGAAAATAACCCCAACAAAAACAACAAGGAGAAGAAGAACAACAACAGCAGCAACGACACGTCATCTCTTCGAAATGCAAATTAGATCTTCTTGATAATGAAATCAAAATTTCTTTTCTTATTTTGTTTTTGTATAATAAATATAAGCATAAACTTATTTGCATGAAATTTTTACGATATTCAAATACAGGTATATATATATATTCGATTAATACGAATCGATTATTAAGTACGGTAGTTAGTGGATCAATGCAGAAAATTGATTCTTTATTTGCTAATATGCATAGAAGAAAAATGGCTCAAGTCAAAGAGGTCATTTCGTTCTTGAATATAAAAATATATACGTATATATGCGGCCGACAACAGGCCCTCATCAATTCTCATTTGTCATCTTTGTCTTTTATCTCATGTCTGATGTAATGCATAGTCTAATGATTTTGTTTTCGTCACATATTAATATGATTTGAAGCATTGTCTCAAATTACGATTGAGATTTATCGTAGAAAACAAAATTATATTCAAGTAAAATAAGTAGCCAAAATAAGCACAAAAATTAAACTTACAATCATCCAATCATTTAGGATTTGCAGATTTGATGATAATTTATAAGGATCATAAATAGTTGGACGCTGTCGTTGATTATCTAGCATGAGCGATTGGGAATGTATAAGGAGTCGTTTTTCCGAACTATATGAATTAGATGATGAAGTATACGTTGATGTCGTTGTTGTTTTTGATGTTCGTCCATTTTGATTATTAGATAGATTAGAACATGACGAAGATGCAGAAGATGATGAACTTAATGTGAATGTTGGCGTACGTGATGTTCTCCTGTGAAAAATATCTTCATCAAAGGCAAGATCAAGTTCTTTCATTGTCGCATATGAATCGATTGTGAATATATTGAGTGAGTAAAGATTATTATAATGAGAATTGGTCATTTACAAATTTATCTTGTACGGGGAAAAAGCATTAACAATAACGAAAGAAATCTGATGTCACCGCTCCATCAACAAAAAAAAAAGAAAACAACTCTTATAGAACTATCTACAATAATGACAAGAGTCGAACCGGCGTCTTTTGTTCTTCTTGATTTATATCCATGGTATTATTTGACGTAGAGACATCGTAAACAAAATGTAAAATATTTGTAATAGTTATACAAAAGGCCGAAGAAGTCAAATAAGTACAAGAGTTATGAGAATACTCTGAATATAATATTTGCTTTTTTCTTTGCTATTTTATCAAGTATTTACGAAGAAATCAATTTCTATTGGTGCTTCAACAGTTTGCTTTCTCGTTATTATTTCCTATTTATGTCTTCAGTTTCTTCTTAGCTTTCTTACATTTCATCATGAAAAATAATAAACAAAAAACAATTAGACAGAAACTAATGAATGTTTATTAGTACTATTACCTTTGATCTAAGACATGAATAAGTAGTGCAAAAAGACGAAAAAAAAATAGATAAGCTATAAAAAACAGCTCGTATAGAATGAATAATTATTCCGCAATATTATTATAAGAAAGTTTATATAAACAAATGAGATTCATCGAAAGGAAATATAACATAATATTATTTTGCTTATTATGTGTCAATATATATATATATCAATTGTCACCTTGATAAGATAACAGCAATAGGAGAATTTAAATGAATGAAAGGTAATCATAGTTATTTATTAAAAGACAATATGAATTTCTTGATCATATATATATTTCTAATGAATACTTACAGGTTTTGATTGTGGTGGTTGCATTTATGTATGTATATTAGTTCAATACTATTTTATAAAATGACGTTATGGATGAAATAAAAAAAAACGGCAAATCAATCAAGCAGAACTAGATTAATATCATATGTATAGAGTTGTCGTCATTACTATATTTCATAAGCAGCCAACGCCAAATCAGATATAAAATGTCCTCTAGATATTAACCATATCTATTCGAATAACTTTTTTTTACGTGTCTATCCAATCAAAAGCTTTATAAACAATTGTATATAATTTCAAATAATATGAATATATGATAAAGTAATCGATGATTATGAAGTTGTAAGAGTAAAATCTAATGACGAAATTGAAATTAAGATTTCAACCATAATTAACAATAAAAAATTTCGATTGTTTACGTCTATAAATTAATTTTTTATATACAAAGATTGTAACGTTTATCGTTAGAATTAAAACGTTAATAATCGACTTTAGTTTCAATTTGACGAATAGAATAATTATAAAATACGATTCTAAAGTTGCCAAAATAAAGGACAACTATTTTAAATTAGTGATGTAATCAGGAAATCATGGGTGATAGAGCAGTAGCCTACAGTCTCAGGGGAAATCCACACTATAATGTGTTAATGATGGTAATTATTACGTTTTTGTTTCTTCTGCCGGTAGGACGGCGCCCGGTCTATCCCACTCTTGATTACATCACTTTTTTAATGGATCTAGTAGTTCAGAGATACAATACTCATTATGAATCATTACTTATCAATACCAACTAAACACCCAACGTCAACCATTTCTGTTAAGTACTTAGATAAATCTACAGAGGCGTCTAGCCTGTATTGATAATACTAACTATTCTTACTGAAAAAAGCATCTCTACAATAAAAACGTTTATCTTCAATATAGATTCATTTTAAATGCTTACCTTTCGACGTCTTATGGTAAGTGTTTTATTCGTAATCCGAATATTTTGATGAACATAACTTTGTAATCGAACCTTTGAATTTTTGCCTAACACAAGGTTTTTGCATCTTGAAATTTTTTTAGCAGAACGGTTTACTGATGATGATGAAAACATCTACAAATATAATAATAAAGATAAAATATTTCTTTATTAAATTCGTCGTAATTTAATTAATAATCATTGATATATTTGTATATATACTTGAGAAACATGTGAATTATCATCTGTTATTAACATCAACGATCATTCAAACAGCTAATTTTGTTCGTATAGCTCAGATTTAGTACTTCATGAGAAATATACTTCGCAAATTAGCTTATAAACTAACTTTGTCTATCTTTTGTTTTTCTGCGACATCTTCTATCAATATTTTCCAATAACAGAATTTCCTAATCGTCTATTACTAACCATTCAAGCAAACAAACAAGTTTTACAGTACTCTCGCTCTTCATTGCAAGAAAGGAGAAAAGAAAAAAAAATAGAAGAGAATTATTTTTTCTCATCCAGGCATTATTATAAAACAACATTGACTTGTCACAATGATTTTGTTATGGTATCCTTGCATATTTTTCATGTATTTTTCTTTGGTTAAACTTCAAATAACAGATACAGATATTAATTTATCAATAAGACCATCAGATATATTAGAGATAGATAATTCTACAATAAAACGTCCACATGTTACGATATTAGGTGCACTAATAAATAGTGAACATATAAAAATACTTCAAAATATTAGTATACATTCAAATAAAGATCTATATTTTTCATCACAATCATTTATTCTTAATTCAAATCCATTATTAACAATATTAGATTTATGTGAAGTTGGTTATATATCAAATGCAAAAGTAATTATAGTTGATCATCTTACTGATGATGATAATGATTTAACATTAAATGCTATTTCATATGTATCAGATTTTTATCATATACCTGTTATAACAATAACATCAAGAGAAAATATTCTTTCAGATAAAGTAAATAATTAATAGAAGAAAATATTGTTAAATAAAAATTTTTTTAAACTTTAGGCGTTACATGATTTTATTATACGATTAGTACCACCATATTTCTATGAAGCTGATGCTTGGTTTAGTATTATTAAAAAATTAAAATATACAAAAGTTGTATTAATTTATAGTCAAGAAGAAGAAAGTCGAATGGTTGCATCAAGATTTCAAATGCTGACATATGATTCAGATGTTCAAGTAAGCTTTCCTTTGATGTCTAATGAGAGAACTTTTTCAGAGGATCCATTGCTTTTTCGCCAAAAACTATAAGGGTGTAGGTAATCGACCATGCTAATTCAGAATATGATCGTAAGAAATCTCCTTAGACCTTTATATGTTGGTGTTTCAGACTAACAAAATGTTTGCCAAAATCGCTTAGATTATAGAGCAGATCGAATTGTGATTCAGATAATAATCCTTTCTGTTTTCTAAAAAATGACTTTTAAATAAAATATCATTTTGAAGATTTTCGCATTGAGATGTGAATATATGTACATGTGTTGTATGAAGCAAAATGGTTGTATTTTCTGTAAGTGATTTCAAACAGAAAAAGCTATTGTTTTCTAGACAATATAATAAGCTTCATAATTTGGACAAATCAAAAATAAATTTGGACAAAAGCTTGTTAGTCGAGCAAAATCAATCTACGAAGACTTAAGAGAAGTTCTTATAGTCATATTCGAATCACTATGGTTAATAGTCTAAAATACACTAGCTTTCGATGAGAAAACGATTGATTAGTTGAAAACGTTCTCTCGTAAGATGTGCTTGTTATAAATTTTTTTCATATATGCAATAAACAACAACAAAATTTGATTATACTATTAGTACGATGTCAAAGACTTAATGAATATTGGCATGAGGAGTTTGAGATAAAAAATGAATATATGTAAATTGTGTTGAATGTTTTTAAATGTCAAACATATTTTGTCATTTATATCAGAAAAAGACAAGAGATAACTTCATAGAAACTAGTAATTCGTTCTAAGTCAAATGAAACTAGCCTGAAGCAGTTAATATTGGAGGATCGTTGCAGTTTTTCTAAGAGATAGCACAACAAATTTTCCGCTGTACTAAGGAGAAAAACAATACGTTTTCTTGACTAGGAGCATGGGGGGGGGGTGGCGGAGAAGGGTCGCACTGTGGCCCTGGGTAAGACCATCCCTGATCTCTGAAATAGCTGGAGTTACTCTGTATTTGTTTTTATCGAAATCATCACAAAATTTCCTTTTTGATGTATAAATCCAGAGACTGGGGCTGCCAAATCTTAGTTTTGTTCATAGGATACACTAGAGTTCGAATGGGATACATTTGAAGTACAATTCCTTTAATAATAGGGTACATCGTTGGGGTACATACCTTTCCTTCTAAAATAGAATGGTTTGTTGGAAAAGCCATTGAAACAAAACTTCTTTTACAAAAAACAGCATTCTATTCGACTTTTTCTATTAGAAAACAACTTTATTAGTCATTTTGTCACAAAAAGCACTTTCAAAGTTAAATTATATCCTTAAAAAATGTAAGTAAAGTTAGCACCGGATTCGAATATTTTTAGTTTCAAGTCGCTCGCTTACCTGAATTGGATCCATAATTAGTTGTGTTAGATGTAGAATTTCATTCTCCATCACATGATACCATTATTGATGGGGATCGACCGGTAAAAAATTTACTTTGAGTGTGCTACGACCATGGGTGAAGGTCTGAGTGTGCGTGTGAATGAAAGTCTAGATGAGGGTGAAGGTGTAGATGAGAGTGTGGACCAACAATTGATTTATCATAATTGTCCTTCTGGTTGCTTATAACCTGACGCACACTCACTGAACGCATTATACACGCTCTTCTCTCACCCACAATCGATTGGAAACCCAACACAGTAAATGGAGCGACTCGGGGCTGAAAATACTCGAATCCAGTGCTAACTTTACTCGCATGTAATGAAATGTTATCGCGCATCAATGTTATACTTTACATTTTTTTAGCTTCTGTTTTCACTACTAGTTTATGACTAGCTTGTTCAGCATGTCGATTGATAAGATAAACACCTCCATTCGAAATAGAAAAATTAGATTTACGAGTAGAGCAACGAATTTGCAAGATAAACACTAGCTTGATATTCTTTAGAAAATGCTGAATATTTAGGATCTTTCAATTATTTCTTGTTCAAAGTACAACGATTTTTCGACTTCAATGATGATTTAACCTTTTTTTGTTTGTTATTAATAGTTGATTTTTCTAGAGAACTAGAAGGTTTGTTGACTATTTTTATTATTTCTGTTTCTTGTTATTCAGAAGTTTGTATTGTATTAATTTGGTTCAATTCCGTGTAAACATGATTATTCTTTCCTTTGAATATAAATTTAAATCTAAATTAATTTTTGACATAATATGCACTAATCAAATATGACAGAAATAATAAGAAAAACAATAAAAGAAAAAGATTCATTAAACTTCTTTTTCATTTTGGAAGTGAAAAGAGCTGCATGAAAAACCGAATAATTCAAAACAAGATAAAAGAAATATAATGGATGCTAATATTCATCGATCAAATTTTTGCCAATACATTTTATTATAGATGCCTTCAAAAACAATATAACAGAAGTTATGTATGAAAACATAGTTTACTTTTATTAGAATTTCAGTATATTGCAGCAAAGATTTTTTTAAAGCAAAAATGGGATATTGTACTCTACAATGAGGTACATTTGACAGCCCTGCCAGAGGCATAACTCAGCACTACAGGTAGGGGAACGCTGTGTAAACGAATTTCAGAATCCAGGAAGAGGGGACATTACACTCTTGCATAGGTCTTTAAAAAAGTGTGATATCTAATAGATTGAACGAATGGAAGAATATGCTTCAAACACAAATTTTACGGCATTAATTTTAAATTTAATAACTGAAGATCGTTTAGCAGCAAGTGTTTTTATTATTCATACAAGGTAAATAATTTTGGTTTTATTTTAATAATAAAAAAATAATTATTGTTTATAGACAAAAGGATACTGATGAATTATTATTAGCTATTGTACGATTACAAAAATTCGAAAATTTTGTTTGGATTATTAATGAACGTGCATTAAAATCAAATAGTTTAGCTCTTTTTGATGGTTAAATTAATTTTATTTATTTATTTTTGCTTATTACCTTTCTTTTTCAGGTCTTCTTGGTGTTAAATTACACGATTCATTTAATAAAGAAAATCTTCTTATTGATGCAACTCAACTTATTATAAATACATTTCTTAAATTTCTTAATGAATCATCTTCACTTTGGTCAGAAAATATATCTGTTATTGATTGTTCATCAACAGAACCTTGGAAATATGGAAAAGATGTTTATAAGTATGTATCATTCATTTTTTTCCATGTATATGTAAAGTAAATTTATTATTCTTTTTTTCCAGAGCACTAGTTGAGACGAGTGTTGAAAATGGTAAAACAGGTAATATTGCATTTAATGAAGAAGGTGATCGTATTGAATCATCATATGACATAATTAATATTCAACGTGGACAACCAAAAATTGTTGGCATTTATCGTTCGAATACAGTGAGTTTCGAATATCATTTATTGATAAGAATATTTAAAATGTCTCGAAACGGTTATGTTAGAAAATGATAATACTAACTTTTAGTGTACAGAATTTATGAGAAAAATTTTGATATATAAATTAGATTAAAAATTAAACAATATTGAAATCATTCATAAATTTTTTTTCATGTACCAGAACTTGTTCGAAATTTGACTATTCTCATTTTCTATTCATATGTGTAACGAGAGCCAAAGATTTCAGTTGAATTCTATTAATATGGTTATAATGTGGTTCGACTTGAAATTCCGAGTTTCTATGTTTATCAAGTTGTCCGAAAAGTTTGTACAACTATACCTGAATCGCGTACGTGAAATAATTAGTTTATATTATCGTGCAAAGCGTAAATTTTTACCATGACGTACGCTCTGTTTTGACTGATTGCATCATTTTGTCAGCAATTATTCTAATGATATCAAGTGATATCCGTCCAAGTTCGAAATGAGATTATAACTGTTTTTGAATAAAATTTCGAATCTGTTCATTTTTTTGGTATGTCGAACAACGAACAGTCGTAAAGTTTTTTTCTTTGAAAAGGACTGAATGCTACCGGGATTAATTAAGGAACTGAAAAATGCTTATAAAAACTTTGCTCCAGTGTATCGTACCGTTGCGAAATGAGTGGCTAGGTCCAAGGACCCAGCACGTCACTTTGAAGATGAACCATGAAGTGCTCGTTCATCGAGTAAAATCATTGATGAAAGCATTGAAGTCGTTGGACGTATTATAATACATGATTGACAAATCTTGGTTCGTTGTGTAGCCGACGAGCTGGGTTTGCGCAAGGTCTGCACATATTGAGTACCGAAATCGTTGATTCCACTTCAATGCACTAGCCGAGTGGAGTGTTGTCAGAAGCTACTGCAGGAAAATGAACCGAACTCAGTCAATTTTTTCGATCGCATCGTAACGGGAGATGAATTATGAGTGCATAACTATGACCTGCTTAGCTGCCTCAAGGCCAACGTCTGAAAAAAACCAGCAGATGAGACCCTAAGCGAACCTCATTAGTAAGCAAAATCAAACTGGTAATTTTTGGGACAAAGATAGTGTGCTGCTCACCAACTACATGACTCCTGGGGAGATAATCAATTAGAGCTCTGTGGTTCCTAGTAAAATGGAACCGAAGATTTTTTTACTGATAACTGGAGTCATCTAGTGTGTGGCGGAAGAGATTGTCAGCAACCACATTCATCCTTTTTACATTATTTCTCTCTTTACTTTATGCTTGGAGGAAATTGAGTTTTCAATAAAATAATAAATATCGACAAGTTCGATAAAGGACATAGACATGTCTAAAAAAGATTCTCATTATTTACTTGATATACTATTAATAAATCATCAGTTCTAAAGATACTTTTCAAGAATCGGCATTGGAACCATGGTTGCAATTCCAATTATGGATATGTCTTTAAACCGCAACGCTCTACGATCAATGTCTTCTAGTAAACATGACGCGTTGAGCAGCTACGCGCTATTATCCTAGAGAAACCTCACGATAAAATCATTCATGGAGTATTATTTCTTCATGACAACGCGCCCGTCCACAAGAGTAGTTTTGTGCATACTGCCGGTCATCAAACTACCTTCATCAAATTGAACCATTCTACTCATTCTCCGGAGATTGCACCTGCTATTTATCACACGTTCACATATCTCAAGAAATTTCTTCGTTGCAAGGGCTTTGGTTCTAATAACGATTGTTGAGAAATGTTTGAATAATTTTGATTCGGAGTATTTGTTTAAAGGTATAAATATTTTGCGTAATCGTTGGCAACATATGGTTGTTAGTGGAGGTCAGTACATTTAATAAATGCAGCAGTTGTTATCCTGCAGCTTCATAGTATATCAGTTGTACGGACTTTCCGAAAAATTTGATAGCTTCACCTCACAAGTGTCAATGGATGAGATGAACTGGTAACAATGCTAAGAATACCCTTTCCGCTTTCTAATAATTTTCGACAAAGATTCATGAAAAAATTCAAAAGTTCCAGAGCAGATAGATCGCTACGAATAGAGGAAAATTGGTTCTGGACTTTAAAATCTTGAATATCTTCTTGAGAAAGACATGGGAGTCGTAAAGACTAAAATGGGTCTTCGTAGCATTCCCATTTCTTGGAGTTTGTACGTTCATTTGAACTGAAACACTTTTTACAGACACTACAGATACTTTGGAGTGTCTACATGTTATTGTTTCGTTCTATCTTCATCCATTCGAAAAACATACCAAAATATGCAGTACTCTCAAAAGCACATGCTTCTTTTTGTAAGCTCTCTAACAGATTAGTAGTACAAGTTTTTTTAAAATAAAAAAACTAGGCTCTCAAAACAGAATCTAATGCTCAGAAATAAAATTGCAGCTCTATCAAACGCACCATGCAAGAGGAATGAAAGAAATTCTGCAACGTTTTGGTTGAAAGCTACGTGTCTATAAAAACTTCGATAACTAGAACAGAAAATTTTTGACCTTTTCTATGTGTTGAACTTTATAAATAAATTTGAGTTCATGTTGTAAAATACTTATAGAGCTGAAAAGAGAAACAATGAGAAAACTAAGATTTTGGGGATATGAATAGAGAGATTTTCATAAGCCAATCGTATTTCTCCGTCTTTTACCACCATGCAGATATCTTAGCGATAAATCATTATGACAAGAATTTTGTCTTTTTTTTTCTTTGTTCTGCTTTGTATGCGTACTGATTCTTCGTTGCAGAAATGATTGAGCCATTGAAAGAACTATATAAGATTTTCCGACAAAGAAATCTACAGTTATAATGCGTAACACTTCTAGAGAATTTCGTTTTTATTGAAGATTCGATCAACATGCTAACATCAATCCATGAGCCAAAAATCATAGCCTACAAGCTGAATCGAATTAGTTTAGCTCAACCAATGTTTATTCCTTTCAAAAATAAAAAGGTCTAAATATATGGACTGAGCTAATCCCAACTCATTCGAATCTCTATGAATTGTATAAGTCGGATAACAAAATCCAATGGTCAATCATGACTCATCTATTACAGAGTTAGGCAAGTACGAGTACATATTCGCACTTGAGAAAATCCGTACTGGCACTGCTCTGGTCGTTTATTGTCCAATATATCTATATGAGCTGAGTTTGAAGAAATTATTTAACGTGAATTTAGTCTCTAGCTCTCTATGTAGAGAAATGTATGTTTCAAATGCTGATGGTGTTTTATAATAGAGTAACTGTCTTTCATGTCTTAACAAGTATCTTCTGAAAACCTTGTGTTTTTACTGTTGACTATCCATCGAAGGAAGTATTCATCAAAAATACGATTCGCAAGCATTTTGTCGTTGGTAGAGAGCTATGAGAAAGAGTCTTGCTCAAATATCTTGTTATGTTTTTTGCTTCTAGAGTACTTGTTATACAAGTAGGATGTGCCAAGAAATTGTAAGTGTTTTAGTTTAATTATATATAGCAATAAATGTTTTGGTTTTCTCTTTTGTTTTATACTATGCTAATTTGCAATGAAAACCATTTGTTCGATTTTAATTTATGTAGACCGGCAAAACAGAATTAGAACTTCATGAGGAAGAAATTATTTGGCCAAATGGATCAAATCAAAAACCTGATGGAATTCGTACAAGACGAAATGTTTCGGTTAGAATATTTTATTGTATTTTTGTTGATAGTGATTTATTATTTAGATTGTTACTATTGTCGAAAAACCGTTTGTATTTGTTCGTCCTGGTAATAATTGTAAGCCCTTATCTGAAGTTTTTTGTCCACGTAAAAAACTTAATGGTAATATTTTATTAAAATTTTATAATTAGAAATTAATTGTTTTGTTTTTATCAGATTCAGTTAATGAAGAAAATGAACAGTATTGTTGCTTTGGTTATTGCATTGATTTATTACAAGAATTATCGAAAAATCTTAGTTTTTTCTATACACTACATCTTGTTGCTGATGGTAAATATGGAGCATTTGAAAAAGTAAATAAAAACTACAAAATAAAGAATTCAGTAATTTCTAAAACATGTCAAAAAACGAATAATAATTAATACGATATATGAATGTATATTTGTTAGGAATTACAAAACGATAGGATGTTCAATTGATATATACTTTAGAATGATATGATTATTTAATATTTTTTTATAGGAAGGAGATGATAAACAAAAACGTTGGAATGGAATGATTGGTGAATTAGTAAATTATCAAGCTGATATGATTATTGCTCCATTAACAATGAATCCTGAACGTGCAGAAGATATTGAATTTACGAAACCATATAAATATCAAGGCATAACAATTCTTACAAGAAAGGTAAATAAAGAAAAAAAGAAGTTTGAATCAATTTATATTTATTCATATAAATATTTAGGATACAAATAAATCACATTTATCATCATTTTTACAACCATTTAAAGATGAATTATGGATAATGGTTTTATTATCTGTACATATTATTGCTGTTGTTCTTTACTTACTTGATCGTTTATCACCATTTGATCGATTTCGCTTTGTACAACAACAACGTGATGAACAATATGAAAGAAATCTAACAATAGAAAAAGATCCAAAAGAAGACAGACTTAATTTATCACATGCACTTTGGTTTACATGGGGAATTTTATTGAATTCAGGAATTGGAGAAGGTTAAAACATTTTAAAAAATTAAAAAAAAACAGACTCTCGTCGAATTTAGTGATCTATCTTGAATCACAATACCATAAATGTGGTTTTGTAGCACTATCTACAGCACATCGAATGGTATATAAGAAATCAAGTTTTCTTCAAATTTTGATTTGTTGAGAGTCTATATATTGGTCATAAATTCTAGAGGAATGTGTATATAGTACTCATAGAAAATTGTGATCCGTAAGATAAACTTATACAAATTTTGTTTTTAAACTCAATTCAATACAGTTATAAGTACTCGTCAGTTTTCTATAATCAATAGTTTTCATTATTGCTTTCTTCATACTTAAAGCTGGTCCCTTTTCTCCGGTCTAGGTTATTTCTTGACTATATGATAGATATTTCAGTGTGTTCAGTTCTGTGCCGTAGAACAAGTGAATACCAAAGTGAAACTTTCTCGAAAATTGCACACTATTCGACTCTATATGTTCCATAGATAAGATCTTTCAGAATAGCATAGACTCATTGTTAACTTGTCAGATTGTTCCATACAGCAGCCTTTTTTTTATGTGAACGAGTCGGTATATTGATGGAATTTTAATAATATTCAACGGTCCTATTAAAAATGTTTATGTACCATTAATCAGCAGAGCATCCCTACTAAACAACTATAAATAACTTCTTTATAAATGAAAAAAGGTTTTTTTAGCTTTCATACTCCGGAAAGAAGGTACGAGGATACGGAAAAATTCATTTTTGAAATGAACATACGATACTTAGATTCTTATAGAGAGTTTTATGAATCAAACATGGATACTCTGAAAAAAGTTTGAAAAAGAAATAATATAAATTAGAGACCTTGTTCGAACAACTATCTTTCCGTGCCTATCTCTTAAAGTCATTAAAATCTTTAATAAGATCATTGAGCATTGTTAAAATATCGTCAATATACTGACCTCTTCATATAGGAAAAATAGTCTATTCTAGCGGACAATCTTACATGTTAACAATGAGCTCCTACTATTCCGAAAGATATCACCTGTGAAAACATATAGAGCTGGATAGTGTATAATTTCTGAAGAAGTTTCACTTTGGTACTCTCTTCTTCTATCACACAGAGTTGAACATATTGGAACATCAGCCAGTCAAGAAATGACCTAAACCTAAGGAAAGAGAGCAGTTTTAAGCATGAAGAAAGCAACGATGAAAATTATTGATTGTAGAAAGTCGAAGAGCATGGATAACTTTATCGAATTGAGGATTTCAAAAAAAGCATAAGTTTATCTTAGAGACCATAATGTTCATAAGTACCAAATGTATATCTCAAAGATTACGACCAGTATATGAGCTGTTAACAAACCAAAAGTTGATGAACAGATGATTTCTTATATACCATTAAATGGACTACAAGCTTACTCTACAGGTCCACGTATATGATATTTTAGTTCAAAATAGATCACCAGATTCTGTGGGGTCTTTTGATTAATAGGATCATGTTTTATTTTTGTTTTTTATTAGAAACACCAAAAAGTTTTTCAGCTCGTGTTCTTGGTATGGTTTGGGCAGGTTTTGCTATGATTATGGTTGCTTCTTATACGGCTAATTTAGCTGCTTTTCTTGTACTTGATCGACCTGAAGCAAGTTTATCAGGAATTAATGATGCTCGAGTAAATTATTTCAATTTTAAACAAAAATTGTTGTTGTTTTTTCTTTTAAATTATTTTCTTTCTCGTCTTTCAGTTAAGAAATCCACAAGAAAATTTTACATATGCAACAGTGAAAGGTTCAGCAGTTGATATGTATTTTAAACGACAAGTTGGTATGTTAAATCAAACAAAAAAATAAATATTAACTTTTCTTTCTCTAGAATTTTCTACAATGTATCGAAAAATGGAAGCAAAAAATTATTTATCAGTTGAAGATGCAATATTAGATTTACGAAATGGGTAAATAAATAAAGTGACAACGTAAAGTTTTTTTGTTTTTGACTTTTTTCTTAACTGTAATAAATATAACAAATTAGAGGAAATATTTCATTAACTGAAACAACTTTCTATCAGGCGAAGTACATTTCAAATTCCCATTAATAAGTTTTTGGGTGAAAGGTCTCTGGTCAACCACTTTTCGTGATTCTATCAAAAAATGTCTTACAAATAAGTTCATCTTATAAAAAAAACATTTTCTGAGCAAAATAATATGTCTGCGACTTTTCTACGACCTATTTTCAGCGAGCTGCACTCATTCTATGAAATGTATCAAAATGTGAAACATAGTAAATTCAGAAGTTTTCACCAAAACAACACAAGACAGTCTTGTAGATCTATCGCACAATGATTGTCGTTCGCTGAAGATAGATTGTAAGGAGCTTAGACACATCTTGTTTTGTTCAGAAATGTTTTCTCTAATAAATGAACTTTTTTGCAAAATGTTTTTGACAGAAGCTATAAAACTGGTTTTCTAGAGACCTCTCATCTAAACCTACTAATTGGAATGTGACAAGTAGTTCTCATGAGAGAATATTGTTCGAGCTAATCAAATCTTTTCTCCAATTTGTTTAAACTGTTAACGTTAAGCAAAATGTCAAAAATGTTTATTTTCTAAACTTTTTGTTTCCACCATGCAGATTTAGGGGAATCGAGTACGAGTCAAATTATTTTTGCCATTTCTTCCTTTTCTGTTTCTTTTGTTATAAAACACGTTAACAACAAGTTGAGCAGTAAAATCAACTCTTCTCTTTTATACAGTTCGATAAGATAGTAAAACCAATTTTAATCAACAAAAAGAAAAACTAAAAATTGTTTACAAGCAAAAAACATATTTATTAATATTTAAATTAATGTCTTATTGTAGCTCAAAGATATTGAAATTCAAATATTCGATTGTAAAATATTTAAACGATACGATCTCATTTAAATAACGCCTTGAGGAAACACCCATTCAATTTGTGCTGATATAGGAAGGACACATGTGATTTTTCTAGCAAGCTTACTTAAAGATTGATCTAAATTTCATTTTTGAAAAATCAGATCACTGACTAAGTTTTCTTCCTGCAGAAAATTATGAATTTCTTCTGAAATTGATTCTGGCTTGGAGTCAGTATTTTATTCACTACTAGGACCGAGAGAACAGTGCTCCTTCGAAGATTGGGTTGGTACTCCAGAAGAAAAACTCTGCATAAAGCACTGTGTTGAATTATCAACTTTTGCTTTTTTGAATGAATGATTTGAGTCAAAGTCACTCAACTCTCGATTCAGTACCATGTGCATCATGTAGGTTCTAATGAGCTATAAATATATTAAAAAGAGTTCGGCCTAATAGCTTATTACTGCCAAAGTACTATATTTTTTACCGTATATTTTTAGCCCAATGCCGTAGTCTACCTCAAGAACAGCAGAGAAACTCAGCGTCGAATTTCGACTTAAACTTTTTGCATAGAGACAGGTCTTCATAAGAATAGTTTGTTGTAAAAGTTTTAGGTCTTTTGATTGCTTCTATTCTAAGATACGACTATGGTAAAAGAATGTTTTTTCACCTCATTCTAATACAACAACGAATTTTGATATTCTTATTTCAGAAAATGCACAATAAAATAATCTGAAACTTTTCAATAAACTAATCTAATCAGGGCCTATCACTGTTCAAAGTTTCACGTTGAAATTCGAAACTCAGTTTTCCTGGTGTTCCTCAAAGGAAGTCACGGCATTCTTGTAAAAAATACAGTATCTCAGCAGCAGTAAGCTATTAGTGCGAACTCTTTTCAAGGTATTCATAGATCATTAGAAGCTACATGATGCACATAGTTCTAACTCAAAAGCGATTAGACACCTAGAAACATTCCTTCGTTAGTCATAATTTGGACTTGCATAGCCTTGAATAAATATTTGATTTTAGAAAAAAATAATAACTATTTCTTTTTTGTTTAGAGATTTAAATGCATTTATTTGGGATTCACCAAGACTTGAATATGAAGCAGCACAAGATTGTGATTTAATTACAGCTGGTGAATTATTTGGACGATCAAGCTATGGAATTGCATTAAGAAAACAAGATTCATGGATTAATCCACTGTCTAATGTTATATTATCATTTCATGAAAGCGGTTTAATGGAAATACTTGATAATAAATGGATTTATTCAAAACTGTAAAATGAAGTTTATGACTTATTTATTGAATTGACTTTTTGTTTTCATTTGAAATCTTAGTGACAAACAATGTTCTGATCGTTCATCATCACCAGCAACACTTGAATTTCATAACATGCTTGGTAAGAATGAGCCTTTTTTTTTTTATTTTCGTTTTTATTCAATTGATTAATTCTATATATGCTTCATAGGTGTTTTTTTACTTGTTGCTGGCGGAGTATTTGTTGGTTTTTTTGTTCTTATTATTGAAATTATATTTAAAAGACAAAAAGAACGAAAACAAAGAGAAAATGAAATATCTCGAAAAGTTATGATTTATTGGAAGAAAAAAGCCGATGTAAGAATTATTTATGAAAATTCATGGTTTTCTATTTTCTTTTTTTCTAGCAACGTAATCAACTACGTATGACAATGTTTGAATCTGATAATTATGAAAAACAAGATATTGATTCAAATTCTTATCATCGATTTTCTTCAAATCGTATTGACTATCCTGTATCATCAAATTTCTCTTGAATCTAAAATATTTGTTTTTTAATTAAAACCTATAAGATAATCTGTTTCCTTTTCTTTTTTGAATATTCTTCTATGTCTTTAATCTTCTTAAAGTAAAACACCATTATTCTTTAATTTGTCATATGGTTCTATCAATAATAGATGGGATATATTTAGCTGACATTGTCATCAATCGTAAAGGTCATAGACAACGACCAGAAAACTATGCTATGATATAGATTAAACAAAAGACGACAAGAAATAAAAAAGAATATGAATATAAGACATGTTGCTATTAATGTCGAAGGACATTTCTACTATTGAAGAGATATCTATTCGCGTTATTGGTCAAAGAAATATAGGGAAGAGTCATTATTTGACAACATATCCTTCGACTTCATCGACATCTTGTCCTTCTCCTTCTTCTTCTCCTTCTTCTTCTACTTCTCTCTTTTTCTTTTTTGCCTTTCATCAGGAATAGAAGAATAATATCGATCTATACGTAACATCTAACCACAGAACTGAGCAAACTAACATCCTACTACATCGCCGTCTATGCATCATCATCATCATCAACATCATCGATGGTGTCTTAGTATACTATTTCATGTTCTTTGTATATAAGAGTTTGTAAGTAGACCGATGCTATCGTTCTATCGCTACAGCAAACTAAATAAGAGAGAATTGTCATAATAGAACGCGATAGTATCTCTACATATAAAGATCTTTCATCATCTGGTCGACTAAGAGAACGTTGGCGGCGACCTCCAATTGCTTCGTTTGTCGTACAAGAGATTTCCAGCTCAGTTCTCTTCGTTGTCATGAAACTGACTGGCATGATATAATTGTTATGAGGCTTGCTTGGGCAATAGCAAACATTTATCAATACAAGGAGAGAGAAGATCGGTGAACTACTATCAAAGCAAATAACTAATATACACACGTACAAACATACACATGAGGAACTCATTCGTCACGGTAAGTAAAAATTCTATGATTGAGTCACGTTTATTATAAAATACTTGTAGTCATTTACTTATTTTATAATCAGATATGAGTCAAATTTTCTCGTCATGCTACGTTTCTTTCTTTTTCTTTCAACTTATTGAAACAAATAGATTTGAATATAATTAAGTTTTTTTTTCCTCTTCTGCCTTTTTTAGGTAGTTGCATTTTCTCTCTCTCTCAATTAATATTACAATGGTTATTGAAACCCGACAGAGTCGTACACATCTTCATTATGAATATCATCAGCATAATCGTAATCGTCGCCGTCACCATACATTAGACAATGCGACTTTGGATAAATTCAATTTTATTTGTGTGCAATTACACCCTGACGAGGTAAATCTCATTAGTTCATATTAATTATTTTTCTTTTCTTCTTAAAAATAATAAAGTTAATTATTGTTTTTTTTTCTTTTTTTTGTTTCGACCTTGACAAATATATATTTTTTATATACACAAATTTTTTTTTTCTTATCTGCTAACTCTTCGTCTGAAAAGCACGGAACACTGTTGATAGATTAGTAATATAGATAAAGTGCACATAGAAAAATATATTTTTGTTCTATAAATAGTCACGTATTGATTCGTCATTATCCCATACAAATTTAACTATGACACAACCAAAACAGTTTTCAATTTCAACAACTTCTATGTGGATACCACCTCCAACAATATCAACAGTAACAACGGCAGCACGTCGTGTTCGTTTTAAATTTGATGAAGATGATAAAAATCAAAATAACCTTGATTTAAATGATAATCGACATACACGTTCATCTGATGATGTTAGATTATCTGGAAAAAATTCTATTCATCGTGTTGAATTTGAAATTCCTATTCATAAAGGTATTAAATCTATAAAACATAAATTATATCACATATCGTTTTTTTTTTGTTTTATTCAAGATATAAATCCATGGTTAAATGTTGATTGTTCAACACAATCATCTTTACCAGCTAAAACACGTTCGTTAACAACAAAAAAAATTGATATGAAACATATTAATAATAATTCAATGCGTGTACAAAGTATAGCACCATTGATTGAAGCTGAAGTCAATTCTCAAGTGGTAAGTAAAAAAAAAAAGAAAAATAAATATTCTAATGATATCATTTATTACTTACTTCATTCATGCAATGTATTGTTTAAAGAATTATCTATTTGCTGATTGAATGTTATATAGTAGATTAGGCACAGCTATGATAGCATATATTTGTCTAGTAGTTTTGATGATTGACAAGATCAAACTATGGATATGTGATACAATATTCTATTGATTATATATTCATCTCATATTCATGAATGGTTGACATAGTGTTAATTATCAAAAATTAGTATTCTCTTGTCGATATTAAATCAATATCATCTTGACAATAGTCTCTAGAGTAGTCTATAGTAACTACAGAGTTTATGTATATTGCTAATTCCAAAAGTTCAAAATGTCAAGTAAATGAATAAAAAGGAAAAAAAACAAGAATGAATATATTATTGTAATCTAGAACTATTTTCTTTCTCTATTGTCTTAGTACTACCTTATTTGTTAGTTTATTTGCATGATATGGTGGCCAAAGCAAACATATCATTGCCATAAAGCTGTTTTCTTGCCAACAATGGTTTCTTCTTCTCTCCTATTTCTCGTTTTTTTTTAAACAGTTGGTTGACGTACCATCACTAACGGCGACAAGGCAAGAGAACCTATCTATAGACTAAAAACAATAATATCAACACCAGCCGTGCGTCCGTTCTATAGCCGTCGCCTTTCTTGCTTTCTTCTATTCCCCTGTTAGTGATGGTGGTCCATCAACATTTTTTTTTTTCATCGTCGTCATTATACACGTCTTATAAATAGAAAGAACAAGCGATAGATTGTACTTTTGCCTGCAAAACGGCTATCAGTTGATTAAACCTTGATTATCACATACTGAGTATTGACATTTTCGTCATCATTATCATCCAATTAGATCAATCTGAACGTTCAACAAACATGTGCTCATGTAATAGAAAATGAGTTCAGCTCATGCTTGCTATTGTATATAATGGATGCAATGAAGAAAATAATACGACACAATGTCATCTGTCGCTGCCAGCAGGTAGTTAAACATATCAAAAAATAAATAAACCTAATGTCAATTTTATCTATTTTGTTTTTTTAATTAATGTATATAATTATTTTATATCGTTTTCTTTTCTATACTAACATATCTGTTTTCTTTTAATTTACTGAACTATTTCATGCTGAGACAAACGTCAAAAAAGCCGAGTTCTTCGTTCTTTTATTTCTTCTTTGGTATATATTATATACATCTTGCAGTACTAACCAATCCGACCACCTGTTGTGTTTTATGTTCATATATACAGTTCATCTATCATCGAGTCAGGTGTTTTCTTATCATTAAATATATTTATTCATCCCATCCGGAGAAAATTCTATTAGAAAGGAAATAATGAATAAATGAAAAATAAAAAGAAACTAATAACATATGTATATTCTAGGACAGAAGTGCAATATATTATACATCATGTATTTTATTCGACATCTTGAATAATACTTGTTTCAAAAGTTACTACTTGATCTCAATCGATAAATCATATTGACTGTTAATATCTGTATGAGTTTTTGTTCAACAAACCATACATGTCAATCATGACATATATTGCTATATGTGCATACAATGTTAGTTGAGTTTGCTTTTTTTTTGTTTTATGACATGTATATACACATATCATCCTGTTGTAATAACAACATCATCATTATCACTTTCACTTCTGTTCTTTCATTTTGGCTTGTTTGTATTACTATTACCAGCTTGCTCTATCATTCTATAGAGACCATGATTATTACATAATGAATAGTGAAGGATAGATAGACAAGCACATATGTCCCGTCAAGTTGTATTAAATACGAAAAAAGTAAGAAGTTGTGAACATAAATATGACGATATAGTGTCACATTATTAATGAGTGTGTGTATGTATGTATGTATGTATACACAACACAAAAGAATCGACAATGTTTTTTATAGGAACAAAACATACCCGACAAGGAGAAAATATAAAGAATTGAATTTGAATTGAATATATGAAAAGCTATATAATGACATGTTATATTTATATGTATTGATTTGAATCTATTATATTCTTTTAGCCAACACTTAATGATTCTGATAAGACTCAATCACAATGGTATAGACAAATGTATGGTCATCTACATAAACCATTGGAAATGAAACAAGGTAAATATAAAACAAATAAAATAATTTATTTATTTGCATGATTAATATGCATAAAAACATTTAAGAAAATAAATCATATAATGTATTATTCGGATATGATTCTTATCTAATATCTTTTCAATATCAAGAATATTATCAGTATCAAGAACTGTTTCGTTTCGATTGAGCATATATCTTTCATGAATATATTTCATAATGTTGTTTTTCTTTTGTTAAATGCTTTTAATTCTTTGTCCTAATGCATTAGAAAAAAAAAAAAAGAAACGTAAAAGAGTATATTGTTCAATTACATTGTTATTCAAGTACATTGATGTCCTCATGATAGCTTTCTATATGTGCTGCATATTTAATCGAATGTGTAATGCATTTCAAGTAGATGCAATAGACATTCAATGTATTCTGATAACAATCAAAAAGAAAGACAAAGAAAAAAAAAACTTTTTTTGTGTATTTATGATAACAGATTAATTCAATTAATTTATTACGATTATACAAAATTTTATAATGAACTGTCAGAGACTCTTTCCTTTATTTTTGTTTGCTCTGTCTCATGGGATGAATTCTAAATCGTTACGTAAATAGTCTCTAAAAATGTCTATGGTAGGTGTTAATTGCTTGTTTTTGTCCATTTGACTCATCTATATCATCACGTTCAGCACATATATATATACATATGTAAATGGATGTATAATTCTCCTATTGTTGATAGTGAATGATATTGTCTATCTTTGATATTCAATTGAGTTCGAAGTCTATTATTATTATTATTATTGTTTGAATAAAAACTGTCATGTTTATTAGATGAATTGCTTTAATTTTTAGACTATCAACAAAATCCTTATACACCAACATATACATTTCCTGATGAGTTTAACGGTGATATTGATCTCATGGAAGATTATATAAGAAGAAAAGCATCACAAACACTTGATAGAAATGACGGTAAGATTTAATATGACTATGAATAAATAAACAAGAAATTATCCGTAGAAAAAAGTTCCTCGACAATTGTACGTACATCAAATTCAAATCAAAAGTAAATAATTATTAAAAAAATTGAATTAGTAGTTTTATTTTTAAATTTTAGTGATCAACGACCTACATTAAAACGAACTACTAATGGGCATATTGAAAAAGTTATACGTTTTGAAGATTGTTATTCATCACCTGTTGTTTCATCTTCATCAAAACAATTTGAATTAGTAAGAAAAACGAAATTGTCTTTTAATTGTATATTAGAGATCTGCATAGATTGAATTTTTCTTACTGACAATGATAGAATTTCTATTATAAATTAAAAATATTAGATATATTTAATACAAATGAAAGCTCTTATCATCAAACTAATAAACTTCAAAAATTATTTGCACTTGACGTACGTGATAAGGGGATATTTGAATTATAAGAAGTGTACATTTGAGATACAAGAGGAACTGACTGCATTCAGGTTTTTCTTATCTGATGAGCTGAATTTTCATGAACATCTCATTATTTAGCAGTATTTTAATAGAAATAGATTAACTTCATATTTGAAAAATAATTCACATGTACGAAACCTACAATTGAAGTTAAGTGATACGTTATTTTCTGATATCGTTGATAACTGATTCTTATCTAGATTTTTCTTATGTTTCAACAAGGACACAAATTCCACAAAGGAAAGTAAAAAAGACTTGATCATATCTATCAATATATCGTGGTACGGACTGTTAGTTAGGAAAAGCAAGATGATAAAGAGTATCTCATTCTCTTGATTTTATATGAACTTAAACTGTTCTAATTATATGTAAGGAACGATATTAGCAAAACAAAATAAGAAATAAATATTGGTTTGTTCTAAAGGATTAGTTTATGATGATCAGTGACAAAAAATGCCTTTTCTTCGGTCATAGCCACTCATTCACTAGAAAATCAATATATCTTACACATCGGTTGAGCAGGAATGAATAAAAGTGACCGTCAATACTTCATATATACCAATTATGCTAGCCATAATTTGTTTTCTGTATCGGAAATAGGCTCGGCTCGGTTTAAATTTTTCAAAACCCGAACTGATCTCATCGCAGCTATGTAACACCATATAAATACCTTTATTAAATGTCTGAGTTGAAATAGATTGATAAACCAAGTAGAACTATTGAAAAAATGAAGAAATGAAAGAATCCTTTTGTTTTGATTTTAGGAAATCTATTTTTTAATTAATAATTTTGAAAAGTTAACATTTATAGTATGCGTTGGATGAAATAATTCCTTTATTGTACTTATAAGATTGAATATCTTGATCTGTATTCATCATAGTGAACTATAGAAATGTTATGTTACATCATGGATTTTTCTTATTTTAAATAAATTCGATATTATCAATAGTTTAAAGATTCACATAAATAAAAACTGACTGCTTCTTAATTCAATATCACCCACATTTTGAAAACACGTTTAAATTAATATGGCACGAGTTATGTAAAAACTTTCAGCAAGACCTTCGAGATACACTTGAGAAAAAATCAGTCCATTGGTTAAGAAAGATCTGCATGTAAATAATTCTTTTTTTATCTAAATTGTACATTTCGTATAATTCGAACGGTTCCTGACCACATACACCAAGAGCTATCAATATTATAAATTTGCTAGTTTTGCAATGAAAACGTTCATTTAAACAAAATTTATTTAACGTTCTTTAACACTTTCAATGTAAGATTAAAAACAATGATTTTCTGCTATTATTTAGTATTTTTAAAATTTCACATAGAAAAATATAGGAAATAAGTGCGTCAAGAATCATCTGTTAGATTTTTGTCTCTAGCGTTTAATGTCACATTTAAGTTTAAGTACGTAAGAAATGCTCAAATAAAAAGTATAATTTGAAATCTCAAATTTTATTATTTTTCAATTCATCATCAATAGTATCTTCTTTTAGTAATATCTAATTTTTACATTCGTATTCAGTAAAAAAAAAACAGATCCTTAAAGAAAACTACAGACAACATCATTCACTACTTCTTTGAATCTAAATTTTGTTCATTAGTCCATATGTATCGAAGAAATAGTATTACGCATTTTTGAACTCACTTATAAAAGTTTAGAAACCTAACATTAATTTCCAAACTGAAAATGTATTTTAATTGAATGAAATTCTATTTCAGACAAACATACGCATAGACATATAATTAGTGATGAGCGGGATCAATCATCTTTGGTCTTGATCCCGATAAAAAAAAAGTGCGCTTCCGGTCTCGATCCCAATCAAAGAAAAAATTTGATTAAGGTCTCGATCAACGAACAAAATTGGTTCCGGTCTTAGTTAAAGAAAAATTTGATCTTGATCTCAGTCAAAAGTAAAATTTGGTACCACTTCTAGCTGAATCAGAACTAAGACCATCTTGCCCATATATAAACATATAACACATTTTGATCTTATCTTTATTGAACTTCTTTGTAATAATTATTTGCAACTAAATTTCCCGTTAAAAGTAGTTACAATACATCATCAATTTTAAGTGTGTCCTTCGATATGTTAATGTTACTAATTATCAAATAAGAATTCATATTTCGAGTATAACCCTAATAGGACACTTAACAATATATCAAATATATAATAAAATAACTTCATCTATACATTTACTCATTAACAATCTAATTGATTTTGTTTTTTATTATATAGAATAATGATGCACCTACAGCATGCGTGTCTTCTTCTATAAACACTAATTTACCATCGAATTCAAATGAGTGAGTTGTCAGATGATAGATTGTTTTTAATGATTATTATATGCATACATAGTTTTAGTATACCAACATCAGATAACGAACAAAAATTAATTTATAAACGAATATCACGTGGTACAGATATTCCATCAAATGGTTTACAAAAAATTTCTAATACCAATGGAGGTAGGCATAGAAATTATCTTTTATCAGATTCAAAAAAAAAAGAATACATATGCATATATATATATCTGTATTCATACAAAACTAAATTATATGTAACATCGATAAGAAAATCAAATAAACTTTTTTTTTATTATTATTAACGCCAGTCAGAAAAAGAAACTTGTAAATGTAAATTTATATTTGACATACGTTCATATAATTCGATTAATAATAATGTTGAATAGTTCAACATGCATAAGAACTTATTCTTGTCGTATATTATTTTAACATCTACAAATGTTTATTCAAAAAAAAAGGAGAAAAAAAAGACTACTCTTTATTCATGTTGAATGCGTAATACTAGAAGAAAATGACATAATTTATCAAAATCTCATTTTCTTGTATTCTCATTAAAATATTGTAATAAGCATACATTGAACAAGATGCCCTTGGTTTTTTTTCATTTTTAATTGCTTAGACCATCATACACGACACATTTTAATTTATTTTTCTTTCTCTTTTTCTTTTCTTTCAAGTTTATATCTTAAAAGGTTTTATATAGTAGGCAAAGAAGCCATTGAATAACAACATCATCAAGTACATGGTTACATATATATCCTTTTTGGAATAATGTGCTATGTTTTTTTTTTGATTAAAAAAGAAAAAATGTACTAGTGCGTGGTAACCTTGAGAGATAAAAGACTTTTGTTTTTCAATCTTTTTGATCAAGCATCTGTTGTGTCGTAATGTCCAGATGAGTTACATAGGAAAAGAGATTATAGAAATACGTTTTGTATAAATTGTATCAATAAATGTGACCTAGAAAATACATAGAGCGGCACAAAACGACTAATCGAAAATCAATAATGACAAATAAGCTAGTGGTCGAGTTTTTAGAGACCAATTAAAAATGATCATTAATACTTGTGCTTGTGCTATATTATGTTACTTTCTTAAAACCTTGATAAGATACGCATAATTTGTTAATATCGGATTGGTTTTGTGTAAAACAAATAAAACCTTCTTCTTATTAGACACGATAATTGATCATGGCTTTCTTTCTATGCAGTAAATCATTTCTTTCATCACTAGTATGATATTTCATTCTTTTATATGCTTCTCATACTCTTGCTGTTTTGCTTAACGTATTACCATATGAGAGTAATATAAAGCGAGTATATACGCACACATTGTTCATCATTTTGAATATTACTACCATAAGATCAAAGAGTATGTATTTAAGCAACATGCTTTTATGAAAATTTGTTGTGCATATGTGAATAAATATCGACATAACATCAACATCGACAATACACACATGAATGCGAAAGAATACTTATTTATTTGCATAAAGATGCCAATAGGCAAAACGAATGACAGAAAAGACGTCCAAAGTGAAATACTTCCATGGCTACATACCAACATCGTTGTACATTTGCATAGACTTTTACTGGTTGTTTTTTCTCTTTCTGTCTTTTTTTCTTTGGCCACTTATTACTCTTTACGTCTGCAACTCTATTGGTGTCACAATGTAAAGACGATGGTTGTGAGAATCATGTGTTTTTTTTTTGTATATGTATGACAGAACGAAGGAGAGCGAGAGAAAGAGAGAAACAGAAAACTAACGAGTAATTAACGAAGAAAAGACAGAAAAACTAGTATTTATATGCTTGGCGCATACCTCCACAAATTACACTAAGATCAACATAGATTATCATCCTTGTCTATCCCGTATTTATCCAGTTTACAACATTTCATTTATAGACATATTATAGACACAAAACGCTATTTCTTCTTGGTTCGCTTTCTTTCCTTTTTATTCTCACGATTTATTAAAAAAAACCGTAGACGACGAACGTCCAGGTAGAACATACATACATATATAACATAATTATACACTGGACCATCATCATCATCATATAACGAGGATTCGGATGAGCGCCTGTCATTCATCATAATTGTGCGATCAACCGTATTGACAAAATAAAAAGAAGGAATAACCTGTCTTCTTCATCAATTCTTTTAAACTAAACGATGGATAACGACAAAGGTGTTTCAACTAATGGTGGTATTGGAGAACTTGTTCGTATTGTGGATAATCATCTTAATATAATGAGACCATCTCCAGGTTTAAGTTCAACACGTACTTATACTCCACCATTAATGGGCACATCTGCTCGTATAGCTAAACGTCGAGTAGATGGTGATACAGGACCAATACGTATAGAAGGTACAGATACATATAATCAACCATTACAACATCAATATCAAAACGTTCGACAAATATTGGAACAACAACAACCGAATCAAATATCAAATGTTGATCAATCAAAGCATTCAAGGTCATTACCGAATGCACAACGAGATTTTTTTGACAAACACTCTTCATCACCATTGTCAACTTATGATACTCCACCACATGAACAACAACAACAACAACAACAACCACCACCAATACAAAAAATAGTTACAACTATAACAACAACTACATCATCAACGCCAACACTAGCTAATCAAACACCATCATCAAGTAATCGTGTACTTGAACAATCGACTGAAACTAATATTAAAACATTTAAAAATGATTCTCAACAACCACATATTATTGAACATAGAGAAAAATATCAAGAATTTTCAGATTCATCTAATTATGATATTCATCGTTTGCCAAAGTTACCAATAACAAAAACCAGTGGTGCTACCGACCTTGATCAAGTTCAAGCAGAAGTTGATCGTTTAACTGATGATCATCAAGCTATTCAACAATGGACACATTTACTTCAAGAACATAATGTAAAAGTAACAAATGAATATAAACGTTTACCATCACAATCGAATACAACTCCAACTAATACAACAGCAAATCCATTAAATACTATTGTTATTGATCAAGCTAATAAAACAACAACAACAAGTGAATTTACTGTTATTGATGCTTTACTTGATAATCCATTAGGATCAAATGATGATAAACAAAATAGTGTTTTACATAAACGTTTTAATGATATTTTATCAAATATACGAAATTCTGAATATGTGAATTTATTTAAAAATTCAACAGCAAAAAAAATATTAAAAAAATCTACGACTGAAACTGTTAATACTCCGCTAATGCGTAAACAAACACACTTCACAGAATCAAATATCGAAATGATTTCGAGTTCTACTGAACAAACACCTTTACTTAATTCAAAAGAGAAGAAAAAACAAGACAAAGTAAATAAGAAAAAAACAAAAACAAAAACTAAGTCAAAAAAATTATCAAAAGACGTAGATTATCAAGTTATTGATGCTATTATTAATAGCCCTATTTCACTATATCTACCAGATTCGTATTTAGCTAAATACAAAGTTATGTCTCCATTATCTCAAGTATCTTCTATTCCGTCAATAACATCAAAAGATAATGGCATCTCAATGTCTCAACAATTGGACATCAAGGCTAACAACGAGACAGTCTATAACCTTGTCCAAATTGTAAATGAACTTTTCTTACATCATGCGGCTGCTTTAACTATATTAGGTAGTACACCAAAAAAGAAATTACAAAACCCAGTTAAACCTAGTGTTTTAAGTGAACTTGTTTATCATCAACAACAACAGCAACCATTGATGAATTCTAATCAATCTGAAACACAATTACAATCAGAACCGATTAAACCTCGTGTTCTTTATCGATATATAGATGAACAAGGAAATGTACTTAAACTATCACCAACATCACCATCACAATTGCGTGAAAGTATATCAGATCAATCACAACAATATTCATATCGAAATATTGAACCAGCATATACTTATAATCGACAAATAACTAGAGATGACGAACAACATCTTCGTCGAGTACCTGAGCATGAACAACGTATAACAAGACAAGATGAATCAAGATTGCCAACAACAACAACAATAACAAAACAAGATTTAGAATTACGAAATAAAAATATATCACAATTAAGTAACCGATCATCAGACTTAGATACAATTACACCAGAACCATCACAACAATATTCATATCGAAATATTGAACCAGCATATATTTATAATAAAAAAATAACAAAAGATGACGAACAACATCTTCGTCGAGTACCTGAGCATGAACAACGTATAACAAGACAAGATGAATCAAGACTGCCAACAGCAATAGCAAAACTAGATTTTAAATCAGGAAATGAAAATGTATCACAAATCAATGAAAAACCATTACCCATAGTATATAATATACCAATATCGATTGAAAGTGAACATACAATAAAATCTCCTTCTCAACAACAACGTATACATCATCATCCAAATCAACAAAATGTTTCATTAAGTTGGCTACCACTTTCTCATCAATCAGAACAACAATATATACCAACTGGTCCAATCAATTACGAGACAGATTCATCAATGAGTGAACATTCACCAATGTATTGTGTGCACGATTATATACCTATACATGCTCATCATCATCATCATCATAATCAAGCAACATTTCCCCCAAATACTTGTTGTCATCATCATCAACATTTACCGGATCATGTTCAATACCCTTCTTCACCATCTGTATCTTATATTAGTCCAAATATAATACCGGAATATAGTAGTACGGGTTTTTCTCGAAATTATATTGAAGTATTTCGTGATGGTGGAACAATACCAAGTGAAGTTTATTCATTACCAATAAATGAACCTATACCAACAAATTATTCTCATGCCTGTCATGATCACTGTGAGAACAAACATCATCCAGCATCTTCAATAAATTTACAATATGAAAAAAACATTCCATCAACATCAAATCGTGATCAATGTCATTCTCGTACAATAGAAACTAGTCCCAATCATGATAATCTTTATTTTGATACTTATTTACCTCAATCAAAATCATTTGATTATCGTCCTTTACGTACAAAACTTCAACGTGAACATAAAATCACACCACGTTTACTTGTTGAGGAGTGGGATCATCCTCAACAATCTATATCTACCGATTATAATAAACAAAGGAGTACTTCATCAACAGATGAAGTTTTTATAAATAATAATCATGATAATAATACAAAAAACAAGACTTAACCTTGAGATATATATTTATATATACATATTCATTAAGAAAAAAGATTTTTTTTTTTTTCTTTTGACGTGACCTATTATTTTTCTTTTAACTTTCTTACAGTTATTGGGACAGTTTTTCGTACATGATGTTGTTTTTTTTATTTATCTATACTTAATGATCGTTATATCAATTATTTTTTTTTCTCAAGCAGAATAGATATAAACATGTTTTTTTTTCCCTCATTTATATTTATGTTTTTCATTGTCATGATAGATTATTATCAATCAAAATCAACAACCTGTATGAACATAGACAGCTATTTCATTGAGATAGATATAGAATTTTGATAAGAAAAAAAAAAAAAGAAAATATATATTTGATTGATCGTATATATGACATTGAGATTATTAAAGTGATTATATAATTTATAAATCATCGTTAAATGGCTATTAGGAAAAATATTTTTCAAGCGAAAGAAAAATTGTATTGAATAAATGATCAATATAATGACTCTAAAAAATAATTCGATCAAGTCTTCTTTTATTTTTTTTTTTTAACATTAAGAAGAATCAAAATAGTAATTAGAGTAAAAAATTTTATTTTTCACCAAGAATTTTTTTTTAGCATAAAAATGATTGTTAGTTTTTCGAAGATAAAATTTATGAAAAATCAGATTTGCAATCACGATGCTATTTCATATATCTAAAATGAGAAAGACAATAGTTTCCTACAAAACGGAGCATCTTCTAGCTTTATTTAGCTTTTTTTCACTGACGAGGAAACATCTTCAGTTGTCAAATTGCTTTATGGCCGAGACAGTCTTCATTTGATGAGTACTAATGAGTTATATATAAAAGTCTAGAATGGTTAGATTTTCCTAGCCTTTTTTCTTGAAACGTCGAAATTTTACTGCTTTTTTCTTCAACAAAAAACTGTAGTCCCTCTCAAATTAAGTGAGAGTTTCGACTTCAAATTTTTCACAAACAAAGTTCTCAATGAGATTAGTTCATCGAAGAAGTTGTAACTTTTCTAGTATCTCCTCTTCTGAAATATTGAATATTTGAAATTCTCTCATATGTAAACGCGAATTTCGTGCATATATTTCTACCTGAAGAAAGAAAATACTAGTAAAGCTAAAATTTGTCTAACGAACTAATCTCATTGCGAATTTTATTCGTGCAAAGTTTGAAATCAAAACTGGAAAATTAATTTTTCACGTGACCTGAAGAGGATCACAACGTTTTGTTGAAAAACTCAGTAAGATTTCGATATTGCAAGAACGAAAGCCCAGAAAATCCAACCAGTCTAGATTTTCCTATCACTCACTAGCACTCATCAAATGAATGTCGTCTCAGTCGAAAAGTGATTCAACATCTGGAGAGATTCCCTTGTCAGATACATCAAATTTATGGAAGACATCGAAATGGAGTTTCTATACTAAGTAACAGAAAGAAAAAATGTCGTAGACAGCTGGAATACATTAGATTCTGTAGAGAATTGTTTGCTCTATCATTATAGATAATATAAACAGCATTGTGATTGCAATTTCCAGAAGCTGAAAATTTACTTCTGGTTTTTTTCAGAGATCCTATCTTCGAAAAAGTAGTAATAATTTTTATCTTTAAAATAACGCAATCTCAGCCCGATTACAATATAAATTACGATTTAGCTGCTGTTACTAATCATAAGTAGATTATTTTATTCGACATATTCTAGGACACTATTTTTCACTCTTCGTTTTTCCTTGATCTTTCATAGATGCAATTATTGTAACGAGTCGCTATTTATAATACAGTCTGCGATCGTCTATCAACAACATCTGTCATGATTTCTAACTAGTACCTGTCACAGTCTATGAAAATGTATGAAAATATCTACTCTATATACCTCAGCAATCCTTTTAGATCGTGCTTCACAAAATTCTTATTGGAAATAAAATTGTTTACTTAAATTACTATTTCAATTCTTCTTAGTGTTGACGATAGCGCGAAAAAAAATTAAAAGTACATTTGGTCAAATAATTTTAGAATATATTGTATATAAAATATCAATAAAATAAGGTTATAATATTGCAAAGAGATAAATATAATAGAATTGTTTAATTTTCAGAATTTCGATGGCATTTAAAAAAATCAAATAGTCTGTAGTTTTCTTTAAAAATGTGCAATATAACGAACAGAATTAGAAAGAGAATAATTCTATAGAACTTTTAAATGGTTTTAATAATAATCGTTCTGATTAAATATCATTGTTTTTGAATTTTTATCGTCAACATAAGTTGTACATATTTAGAAAATCAAATAAGATTAATAGTTTCACATAGTAACAAATTTTATTTCTTAATGAAGATTTTTAAAGTAAAAGAAAAATTTCTCTTTTCTGTATTTATAGAAAAAACAAGCAATGGTACTAATGAACATGCTGAACAACAGGTATGTACAATTAATAAGATTTGTGTTTTAGATCGTTTTTTTGTGTTTTCGATTTTTAGGATTGGATAAATCGTCATGATTTGATTGACTCAAATCAACAAAAATTAGAACAGAAAATCCAGACGTAAGTTAATATTTGATCTATGAATTGTTTTTAATTGAGCTTTTCTTTATTATTAAAGACGATTAAAATCTCAACCTATTTTTAAAGCGCTTGCACTTCATAGTTTTTATGCGCAGACCAGCAGGTAGAATGAAGTTTTTATATAAGTTTTTCTTTCACTATTAAACTTTAATTTATTTTGTTTTGTCTTCTTAAAGAGAATTGTCTTTTAAAAAAGGCGATATACTTCTTGTCCTAAGGCGTATTAATGATGATTGGCTTGAAGGTGAATATCAAGATTCAATAGGTATATTTCCTCTTAATCATGTTGAATTATTTCCAATTGAAATCAATAAACAAGATGATTATTTATATGAATATGAAAATGATTATGATATTGAAGGTGAAGCTATTGTGAAACATGACTTTATACCACAACAAACATTTGAGTTACAATTACGAAAGGTCAGAAATGTAATTATATACTAAACTATTCTAAAGATTTATTTATCTAGGGTGATAAAGTTATTCTATTACGAAAAATCGATAATTATTGGTATGAAGGACGTGCCAATCATATTGAAGGCATTTTTCCTGCAGCTTATGTTGAAACATTAAAAGAACCTGCAGGTAAGAAAAAAGAAATTTTCATTTTTGATAATGATGAATAGTATACTGATTGAATGATTAATTGTCGAACTGTCAGTAAGAATAGATAATAAGCATTTTCTTCTACAGTTTTATATCTTGACTTTATTATAATAAATACAATGTTGAAAGCACTAAAAGATACTGTTTTTTTTCCTCATTAGTTCTGACTTGATATAATATGACAGGATATTTAATGAATAATTATGCCGACTTTTGTTATTTTTTTAAATAATGTCAGAAGTATTGTGAACAAGTGATTACTGTCAAAACAATACGCTCTATGTTCATCGATCTTTATATTCATAATCCTAATGTCATTGAGAGTCCTAATAATATCTTTACTGATATTGAACTTGAATGATAGAAAATAAAACTGATTTTCTCATCTGATATTTTGAAAAATATAACATCTGTAATTATCAAGTAGACTAAATCATTGCCTATAACATTAAATTATTGACCTTTCGGTTCAAGATAAAATTTTTAAGTAGAGACATTTTTGATTTAATAAAACGAATTGTAAATCAACTCAGTTTCTTTTATGAGCAATCAATAGAGTCTGAAATTGCTACTTCTAAAAGAACAAAATTCACCCTTCCTTGCCAGTGAATGTACTGATTTCAAGGTCGAAAACTTTTTGCTTTGTTCTTTTTTTTTGTATATACTCTCTAAACTTTGCTCTTTCAAACAAAATATAATGTCGAAGTCAATTCGATGTTACATTGTGGAGAAATAGACTCTGTCATCGCTTATTAATTAATAGATAATAATAAATACCTATCAACAAAAATTCGATCGATTCATTAACTAATATGACTACTATCGGAACTATTAGTTTCTTTGTGATTATTACTTTCGACAGGGCTATTATTCATATTATCTCCTAATACAGTATTATTATTGTCTGCTTTTGAATGTTTTTCTCTTTTTTTTCATCGGTTTTGTTGATGTTCTAGAGTCTTTTTCTCTTTTCAATTACCTCATTGATGAAGATAATAATTCTCTTAACATCGATAAATTTCAATAAATAAATAATAATTGATTTATTTTACTATAATTTATCTCCAATTATAATTTTATTTTTGACTTAAGATCATTTCACATTGTGCAAAGTGCTATGTTGACAGAAGATCGTGTCCGGTAATGATAGTTTTTCTCGAATATGAATAATGAAATCGTCCTAGACATTCGGCGGGCATTAGGGGGGGGGGGGGGGGGGGGGGGGGGGGTTGGGGAGACGTTGGTGGGGTTGGGAGGCCCGATGGGGGCGGNCATTTTTTAAACATACAATAAACTAAAATTTTTGTTCATTCATGTATTTCATTAAGTAATGGATTTAATTTTTAATGATCTGTTATGGAATATGATGAATTTAAAATATTCCCAGGTCAAACAATACGGGCCGTTTCCGGTAGGAAAGCACCGGAAATCACTGGAACGTGGAAGCAGTATTCTCACCGGAAATTGACTCATGGAATCCACCGGAAAAAATCCAATAAATTTCCTGTTGGAATACTGCTTCCACATCCAGCTATTTTCGGTGCTTTCCTCGCTTCTTTCCTGCGGGATTCGGTAGCCGTAATCTTCGACCTGGGTAGTTTAAAGCCACACTGCAAACTTATTTCGCTAAGAATCTTATAATATTTCATGAAAAGACTGCTACCCAATTTCAAGAAAAAAAGTAATTAGTTTGTCTTCTGTTCTGTATTAAAAGACATATGAAAGAATTATTTTATATATTTCTAACTTGATTTCATTTTTCATTTATTCAAATAGTATGAAACTATTTCATCTTTTTATCATACTCATTTACTCACTTATATTCTAAATAACAGAAGTCCCTTAGAAATGTCAAAACATAAAATTATTACAAACTTTTATCTAACTTTTTGTATTAATCGCAAACTTCTCAGTTTTGACTTAAATAAATCCCTGGATTTCGGCAAAAACCATTTACAGTCTACACTTCTGACATATATATAATATTGACTTTCTTCATTTTAATTCTATAAAATCAATGGTAAAATTTTTATTCAGTGAGTTCTTTTGGTAATTTAAGGCCTCCCCCCCTCAAAAATCAATCTCAGCCCAGGAACGTTCAAATGGACTGAAATTTGGAGCATAGGTTGGGGCTGAAGTGGGAAGGCTGTGGTAAAATTTTCAGCTCGATATACTGACGTTTGACAGAGATATGAACCAAACAAGGGTCAAAAATAGCTCATTTGGCTACCCATTTTTTCTCCGTCCGGGCTCTTTCAATATATTTAAATTTTTTTTTGTTTGAAAGAGCATCTCAAGATGCAGGGCATGACAAGGTCCGTTTTTTCAAATACGGACTTTTTAAGTGTAAAAAAGGGATCACAACTTCCATGACTCAAAAAACCCTCTAAAAATGGGCGCCAATTTACATAAGTGACTGTATATATAATAAAAATTAAGCTTAATTGAAAAAAAAGGGCCTCGTCATGCCCTGCACCTTTACGTGCTCTTTCCAACAAAAAAAAATATAAATATATTGACTGAGCCTGGACAGAGAAATTTGGGATGCGCGATCGAAAAAGCATAAACTGAGAAAAAAACGAAACACATTTTTTGAAAAAAAAATTTACGATATTTTAGCATGTGTAGGCACTTTTTCGATAAATTTGAATAAAATGATTACCAACTTTCCTGTATCTTTTATAACTATGCACAAATAACCTTCATTTAGCGCTTGTTGAGCTTCACTAAATAAATAATTTTATTATTGAGGACATCAACATAATGGGCTTATTCGAAAATGTTCTAATAAAATTAACTGTGAGTTATCTCAGCCCTCTTTTTATCGTAATAACTGGCGCATTGTTATGATATATATCAATCACATTAGATCACGTCGCTTTTGATGTTTTTTTATCCTTCTCTTCTTTATTCTTTGTTATTCTATTCTATGCTCGTTTTCTCTGATATCTGGCAGTCTTCTAAACATTGTCAGCTGGTGCCGTCATTTGCACTTCATCCCGTTCTTTCGGTCATTACTCTGACGTCATCATCTCTTTCTTTTCTGTCATTGCCATGACGTCATGTATATCTATTCCATCTATATCTTCTTTCGTTCTGTTGTTATACGTGAGTGCATTTCATTGAAGTGCTTATTTTTCATGCAAAAACCTCAAAATTCATTTTTTCCAAAAAAAAATCATGTTTTTCACGCAGCCGATTACAGAAATCATCAAAATTTTCAGACAAAAAAAGGGGCATTGGATAACAACACATATCAAATCTGAAAGATTTGAAGACGGGCTATCTTCCCATGCATTTATCTCAATTTCGAAATTTTTGACGAAAATTGATTTTTTTTAGGGGGGGGGGGGGCTTAAGACAAGACTACCAAGGTTTAATTAATCTATTTGATTTATATTAAATGTAATTCGTGAGTGATAAAAATCGCAATGAATCATTTGTTGCTTTATTCTAAATCTAATAATATCTGTTATAAGAAACATACAACATAAGGAGGATTTTGTTTCATTGGAGAGTAATAAGCTGACCGATATTCGAATAAGGCCACAAAGATCTCAGACACATCAGAGATGTCCATAGCGGCGCGACAGATTTTCAGTCTCGTGAACATCACTGAGACACATCGAGAAAAATAAGACTGAATTGATCAGTGGAATGGCTATATATGTTAAAACAGAGAAAAATCATCTTTTCGACCCCGAGCAGATTGTACAGTGAATCGATGTTAAAGTTGAATTAAGGGATGTGATTGGCGCATGTGTGAGTTAAATGGTCCATTCTGGGCATTTATTCAGTAATTTTTTTTTAAGTCGTTTTGATTTTTCAGCCTGTTCAGGCATCTAAGAAATACAAGTAAAAAAATATAAAAAAAAATGAAAAATGTCATCTTCTATTCAATAGTCAAACAAATTGAATCAATTCAGTTTGAAATAAGAAATATAAATTAAATTTCTACCCAGTAACGCGAATTCTATTGATTAGTTCACATTGAGTTGACCTTGTCTGTTTGTTAGGGGTCAAACACACTAGATGAATTAAAACTGAATTAAGCAATCAGATACGCATTGTTATGTGGAAACACCAATCACATCGGTTAATTCAGTTTCAATTCGTCTAGTCTGTTTGACCCCTTACCTTCCATAACATACGCACAATGACGGCGTCGATATTCATTCGCTATTATTCGTTTAGACGAAAATGAGAAAATGCGAACATATATATAAAATTGCGATCAATTTGTCTGAGTCAAACATGAACAATTTAAATAAGAATCATATGAATATACTTGATTTACCTAATGAAATTTTATTTATTATTTTTCAAAAATTGGATATGATTGATGTATTTTATTCATGTATTAAGGTCAATCGACGATTTAATCGATTAGTGCTTGATTCTTTTTTTCTTCGTGATCTTAATATGACTACTATTAATGACATCAATTCATTGTACGATCAGACGTCTTCAACAGATCCAAAAGTTCTTTCAAGAATTTGTGAGAAAATATTACCTCGAATTTATGATCACACATATAAACTTACCGTCAACGAATATTCAGCCAAATACATGTTCCTTGCTTCGAATTATTCAAAGCTATATTCATTATCACTTATCAATTTTCAGAAAGAAATACTTCATCAATATTTAACAGGTATAGAATTTAATTTTATTCACTAGAATTAAAATAATATTTGTATTATTTTTCGTAATTAAAGATAATTTAATTCTACGTGATCTTCTAACAAATCAAATAACACATCTTAATATTGATATAAAAAACACAACAGAAAATAGATTCAAAATTGGTCCAGAAATTTTTCCAAAAATCTTATCTTTATGTAAAAATTTAATTGTTTTGAATTTTTGTGATATGTTTCCTGAACGAAATTTTGTGGTTTCTCTGACTGATTTCTCATGGAATCATTGTATACCTTCAACTTTGATTAAATTAAGAATTAATCTCTCAACTTTAGCTGATTGTCTCCATTTGCTTGATGGACCTTTTGTTTGTTTATCAACATTAATTATTACTGTAACATTTACTTTTCATACGACAGAATACAAGAATCCAACAGTAAGTATTTACAATAATAATCATATTTATACAAAAAAACATTGAAAATAAACAATTATTTTTATGTTGTTTGTAGAAAAAACTTCCAAAATTGAAATATTTTTCGTTAACTGCATTGAATCGCGTACAAGATTATGATGATTTAATTATTCCATTACTTTGTCGAATGATAAATCTTGAAGAACTAAAATTATATTTATCAGTAGATAGATCTTATTCGAATTATATTGATGGGATTCAATTATACGATCAATTTCTTATTTATATGACACAATTAAAGAATTTTACATTTTATATCAAGACAGAGATCTCCTTTATGGATATTAAATTTGAACTTCAATCAAACGAAGAAATTCAACATAGTTTTATTGGAAGAGGATATCCACTAGTAGCTTCATATGTTAATTCAAATCCGTTTGCACTCGATGGTGCATGTTATATCTATTCACTTCCATATGATTTCGAATATTTTAAAGTCGACAATTCATTTCAAGGTGGTACATTTCACAAAGTTCGACAATTAACAATGGTCGAGAGAATTCCTTTTGAAGACAGACTATTTCAACTTATCTCTCAAGATTTTCCTTTTCTTGAAATCTTACATGTTTGTAATAGTTGGCCACAAGAAGGCAATCAACATTCATTAACATTAATCACATTTCCACATCTTAAATTTCTTGATGTTAAATATGCGCATGCTAATTATGTTGCACGATTTCTTTTGAAAAAAAGTATGCACTTACCTCGTTTATCAAATCTTTCCATAGAATATAAGTTACTCATGTTAATAATAAATAATTTTACTAATGATCCAACATATTTTAATTTTGATAAATTAAAAAGTCTTGATGTAGGTCAGTCATTTGTTCGTCCAAAAAACTTTCATCAGTATTTTCCTTTGTTATAAAGTTGTTTCAATAAAAGAAAATATTTCTTTTTTTTTTCATTTATACTATGCAGCAATAAAGAACACCAAGATAATGTTAGATCATATTTAGATTTGACTTCATTTTAAAATGTAATGTGAGGTGATTGGAATGTCTATGAATAAGAAATCGTATGACATGAATAGGGTGTGGGTGAGCGTGTCATTCTTTCATACCCACACTCACCCTCAAACCTTCACTCACATCCACATCTTCGATCAATGAAAACAAATTCAAGAAAATATTTTCTTAGTTTTAAAAATAGAAATGAAATTAGTGATGAAAAACGATTTGTTAATGATGATTTTCATCATTAAGACAATTATTTAATGATAAGAAATATCCAATAAAAGAAAAACATATAATAAGTTATGAAGAAATAAATGAATAAACGAAGAATTATTTTTTTGATAATCATCAACCTTTAATATGGATCATTAATAGATATAACAAAGAGATAGATATAACTAAACTTTGTTTATGTATTTTCATATTCAAGTATGTATGTTTTTCTTGCTGTGTATCAATCATTTCAAATTCATTTGTATTCTGGAGTGTGTGAAGATAATAGGGAAAAAGTTTATCATTCACATCTATAGCTTCAACTCATCATTGTATTGAAGTTTTTTCGTTAGACAATCAACAATAAAAAATTTTCATTTAAAGCATTAACTTGCAAATCTATTGATTAATAATGTATCGAAATATCATCATTTATCTTTGTTAGAATTTGTTTTTTTTTTCTAGGAATTGATGTACACGATAAAAACGAAACACACGTTCGAGTTTGTTCTTCAATGATGTTTTCGGAGATGGGCAGCTCCAGCCTTTCCTCGCTCCAGCTCCAAACATTTTCTGGCTACTCCGCCCCGACTCCACTCCAACCAGAGTACCTTCCGCTCCAGCTCCGCTCCAACAGAAATAAAAAGTCATTATTTCATCAGAAAACTTTGGTTGAGGGTGGCTTCTTCACAGATCACTTTTTGTATTCATTAATGATACTCACTTTCCGTTGTAAAGGATGCAAATGGAAGAGGGAAAGGAGCAGTCAGTAATATCTGCCTGAAATTTTCTCGTTCCGGAGTTGAAGCTGCCCATCTCTGGATGTTTTCAAGCCTGATAAATTTTTGAAGCTATAAAAAATAACAGCGATCATTTTTATGAAAGAAAAACTTTTTCACCTCAATGGTTTATCATCATCACTATTTATATTTGTATCAACATCAATGGAAGCTAGACAACTGAAATTTGGTTCCATGCCCTTAAAATAGAAGAAATGCAGTTCTTTAATCATTAAAACAAATGAATAGTTACTTCAGCTTATATCAGCAATTCATTCGTCCGTGACATCACACAAAAATTAAGTGTACAATTATTTTTTTTGAGCGAAAATTTGAATGAACTATATTTTGAACCACATGTTTTAATTGTTAAAACCTTTTAAAAATATATACAATTGGTTTTAAAAAAATAAGAATTTTTTACTTTTTTCTTAAAATAATTCTCCTCCGATAACATCCTGTTAGAACGCTACCGAAAGTATTCATAAAAATAATACAAACTGAACTATTTTGGAAGTCATTTTTTCTGAATTACAAAGTAATTGATTTGCGTCATAAAGTGTTAGAGTTTCTCAATATCAATCAACTACTTAAAACGTTCTTACTATTTTATTGTTCTAAAAACGTAAGTAAAGTTAGCACCAGATTCGAGTATTTCTTGTCCAGATTCGCTTTCATACCTGTGCTAACTCTCTAAGCGCTTGTGCTAGGTGCAGAATTCAATGCTCTATCGAATAGTAGTACTTTAAAGCGGGGTCATCGGGCAAAAACCACAACTTTTTCCCGAAATACTGACTTTTCTCCTGTGTATCAATAACAAACATCCTGTATTTCTTGTTCGGATTCGCTATACGATTTGTGCTATTTTTCGAATTAAGTGTGTTGTATGCAGAATTTAATTCTCTACCCAATGGTACTATTTTCAAGGGGTCTTATGGGGCAAAAAGAGCGGGTTATGCCCCAAATACTGGGTCCAGGACTAGCTCATGCGTGTAAATCTTGTCTGGATTCGCTCTACGACTTGTGCTAACTTTCTAATGAAGTGTGTCGGATGCAGAATTTTATTCTCTATCACATGGTACTATTTTCAAAGGGTGTTATCAGGTAAAAAGAGGGGATTATGCCCCAAATCCTGGCTCCAGAATAGGTCGCGGGTGTAAAACTTATCCGGATTCGCTCTACGACTTATGCTATTTTTCTAATTAAGTGTGTTGGATGCAGAATTTAATTCTCTATTCAATGGTACTATTTTCAAGTGGTGTTATCGGGCAAAAAGAGCGGGCTATGCCCCAAATAGTGGGTCCAGGACTAGATCCCGCCTGTAAATCATGTCCTGATTCGCTCTACGATTTGTGCTATTTTTATGATTAAGTGTGTCAGATGCAGAATTTAATTCTCTATCCAATGGTACTATTTTCAAGGGATGTTATCGCGCAAAAAGAGCGAGTTATGTCTCAAATACTGGGTCCAGGACTAGCTCGCGGGTGTAAAACTTGTCCGGATTCGCTCTTTGACTTGTGCTAACTTTCTAATCAGGTGTGTTGGATGCAGAATTTTATTCTCTATCCAATGGTGCTATTTTCAAGGGTATTATCGGGCAAAAAGAGGGAGTTATGCCCGAAATGCTAGGTCCAGAACCAGATCTCGGGGGTAGACCTTGTCGGAATGCGGTGTACGAGCTGTGTTAACTTTGTAATCCATTGGGTTGTATTGGAAAGGGTGTAGGTGGGTGTGGGTGTGGGTGTGTAGGTGTGGGTGTGGGTGTGTAGGTGTGGGTGTGGGTGTGTAGGTGTGGGTGTGGGTGTGGGTGTGTAGGTGTGGGTGTGGGTGTGGGTGTAGTTATGCATCTTACTTTCATACAACTGACACACCCACACTCACCGACACCCACACCCCCACACCCACACCCTCCCCCTCGAGAGCATCTGGTGTTATGCGTTAGCCATGGATGAACAGAGATATCTCTACATCTCAGACTTCAAAAACCATAAAGTAAGACGATATGAAATAGGAAACAAGAATGGAACTCTCGTTGCTGGTGGTCATGGTAAAGGTGACGGTCTCAATCAACTCAGCAGTCCGTTCTGGATCTTTGTCGATCGACAACAGGCTGTCTACGTGTCAAATCACGACAATCATCGTGTTATGAAATGGGATAAAGATGCAACAGAGGGAATTGTCGTCACGGATGGACAAGGCCAAGAGAATGCTCTGACACAATTGCGGTATCCTAAAGGACTGTTCGTCTATACGTTGGCTACCGTCTATGTGGTGGACTCAGATAATGATCAAGTGATACGTTGGCCTAAAGGAGCGAAACAGGGTACTACCATTGTAGGTGGAAATGGTCGAGGAAATAGAGCAAATCAGTTGGACTCTCCTGAAGGCTTGTCCTTTGATCAACATGGTAATCTCTATGTGTCCGATTATAAGAATAATCGTGTTCAACGCTTTTCGATCGATTTAGATTCATGAACATCGTTAATTTTTTTTCTTCCTTACCTTCAAATAAATCACATTGAATTGATACAAGGCATGGCTATTCTATTTGTGCAACGAGAAGCCACCCTAGTGGCGCTCTGGTGAGCGTGAAGCTTGTGCACACACCAGGTAGACTCAATGGAATCACATGAAATGTGCCAATAAGTTTAGTGAAAGTCCGACCTTGTACCACGGATACCCCAACAGTTCCTCCCGGGCTCTTAGATCCTACCCGGAAGACGAAAACAAAATAATTAATTTTATAGGATGAAAAACAATAAGATAACTTATCCAAAAGTTTTCTTTTTCTTTACTGCTCAACGCCTAAAATTAAAAAAAAACGGTAAGTTTAAAAAAATTTGTAATACATATGTACAGAGTGTATCAAAATTATTACGCCCCCCCCCTTCCGCTTTCTCGACAACTTAAAGTATAAATAATATTACAAAGTAATTTGTAAGAAATTAATGCTCATCAAAAACTGGATTTATGAGTGTAATTAGAACAATTATTGCTTATGAAATTATTGAAATGTCTTGAATTACATGACAAAATGCACTTGTACTTAACAATTTTCATTCTTCCTGTACGTACATATTTTCACAAAAAATAATAGCAGACTCCTAATCTCCAATAAAAACTGAATATATAGACATGCCATTTATATATTTTTGACGAAAAAAAGGATTTTTCTGAAAAAATCTCAGAAGGTACTTCAGATAAAACTTTTTTATGAACTGAAATCTCTCGATTTATTTATCAGTAGGCACAGTTTTTGACGGAGATTAGGAATTTGATATTATTTTTGTTGAAAAATGTAATAAAAAAAAGCAAACATTGCAATATACGAGCCCGTTTGGGCATAAAAATGCCACAGATTTTATAAGATCGGGTCTATAAAAGAACTATCATGCCTCCTCATCAGCTTACATTGTAAATGATAGAGTTTCCAATTTATTAGAAATATAAACTTCTCACAAATGTACGTTTATGAAAAAATTTCAGAAAGGAAGGGGATTGTTACGAAGTGAAATCGGCGCCCTGTCAGAATTCGACTTTGTCTTTCTCATTTTATCAAGTTGGCTATCACATTGTCTATTTTTATAGAAATATCGACAATTTCATGCAGTCCACATCGCACATGAGCCGATTTACTTATGCTTCTTTTCTATATATTATATGCTCTAAAATGCATTGAAGTAATGTATGGTTTAGAAATTATTGCTTCATTCATTCATTCTTATGATTAGTCGATTCATATATCAAATTGAAGACCTTTTATTTCTCTATCAAATAACATATTAACATATTAGAAAACATAGTTTAATTGCTTTCTTTCATATCGAAACTACATTATCACTATTTCTTTTCCATAGCAAATCGGTGCGTTATAATGATAATAGAGAACGTTTTATTATCTAAAGCATGTAGATCCACTCCGGATCTGTCAAATGATGACGATGGTTGGATGTGGATGGGTATATGAGTGATGAGAAGAAATATACCCACACTCACACGCTCAACATGAAGTGAGTCATGATGGAATTGAAGATTCAAGTAATTAAATCGTGTCAAAAAAAATACCAATGTCAGTGACCAATCTAGCGANAGGCTCTATACCCACACCGGTCACAAAATATATATATATATATAGATTGAAATAAATACATTGTATGAGTTAAAAGATGAACAGATGCTTGAATATATTCGATTTACCCGATGAAATTTTACTTGTTATTTGTAATAAAATAAATATAGTTGATGTTCTTTATTCACTTGTGGATGTTAATCAAAGATTTGACCGATTAGTACTTGATCCTCTTACTATTCGTAATCTTAGTATGACTATCAGAACTTTTGAATCATTGTATGATCAGACCTTTTCAATAGATGATAAAATTCTTTCAAGAATATGTGATAAAATCTTATGTCGAATTTATGATCAAACAAATACTCTTACTGTTGAACAATATTCAGTAAAACGTATTCTTCATGCTGCTAATTATCCTCAACTGTATTCATTATCATTTATTAATTTTGAAGAAGAAATACTTAATCAATATTTAACAGGTATAGTATTTAATTAATAAAATAATAAATTGGTTAAGTGTAAGTTAATAGTTATGTTTTTTTCTTTTAAATTGTAGATGATTCTATTCTTCGTGATTTGCTTAGTAAACAAATAACACATCTTAATATTGATATAAAGAATGCACATAGAGAATGGTTTAAAATCACATCAAAGATTTTTGTTTTAATTTTATCTTTATGTAAAAAATTAATCGATTTAAATCTTTGTGATTTATTTTTTGAACAAAAACATTGGAATCGTATTTCTCGTTTAACAGAAACAAGTTTAACGTCTTCAACTTTAACTAAATTAAAAATTAATCTTCGAACTTTTACTGAATGTTTGTTTCTTCTTAATGGAAATTTCGAATGTTTAACAACATTAATTCTTCATGTGGAAATGATTTATCATCCGATACGACACATAGATAATGCAGTATGTATTCGATTTCGATCATCCTTTCTATAAATTAATCCGACAGATATTTTCAATGTTAATATTATTTCTAGAAAAAACTTCCCAAATTAAAATATTTGTCATTTACTTCACCTGAATACACACAAATCAACATGATACTCTAATTTTCCCATTTATTCGTCGAATGATAAATCTTGAGGAATTAAAATTATATTTATTAATAGAAGTATTTAATTTAAATTATATTGATAGTATTCAATTATATGATGAACTTCTTTGTCATATGAAAAAATTAAATAACTTTATATTTAATATTCAAACACGTGACTTTAGATGTAAGACTAAAATTAATCTTTCATCAAATGAAGATATTCAACGTAGTTTTATTGAAAGAGGAATATATCAACAAATTGCTTCATATATCCATAATTCAAGTAAGATCGAATCAAAATGTCATATTTATTCACTTCCATATCAATTTGAATATTTACTTGAAATCAATAATTGTTTTCCAGGAGACATGTTCCATACAGTTCGATATTTGGTAGTTATTGATCAATATCCTTTTGAACATAAATTCTTTCAATTTATCTCTCGTGGTTTACCTTTTCTTGAAATCTTACATATACGAAATAATAAACCACAAAAAGACAAACAATATTCATCTACCGAATTAATTACTTTTCATCATCTTAAACTTCTTAATCTAAAACTGGCATATGTAGATTATGTTGAACAATTTCTCTTGAACAAAGTAACTTATCTACCTCATTTATTTAATCTTTACATCAAATATGAATCACTTATAATGATAACAAACAATTTTACCATTGATACAACATATTTTAACTTTAGTAGAGTAAAGGATCTCGACCTAGATCAATCATTTCTTCATTCAGAAAATTTTCATCAATATTTTCCTTTGTTATAAATTGTTTCAATAAAAAAAAATAGTTTGATAAAATTGTATATTTTTTATTGATGTTATACTATTACAAAAGAGAAACAGATAAATATAATCATCTCTTTTTCAACATCGATAGAAAAACGATTAATTCTGTTTTTTAGTGAGATATACTATTTTTCAAAACGTTTGTTTTCATTATTTTTGCAAAAGAAAAACATTGAAAATATTCGATTTGATACATGAATGGTTTTGTAAATTGTTGATGCCAATATTTTTCTTCACTATATAACTACATACAAGCATTTATTACTCATTGCTATAGTCTGAACTGGCTGCCTAGTTCGACTTTGAATATAAATGAAAAATTTTGAAAATTCATAAGCATCATAGAAACAACAAAAGAAAAAGAAATATCTAATTTATCACATTTGAATAAATTCCTATTCATTCATGTGTTTTTATATGTTTTAATTCGAATTTATCGAATAAGAAAAATATTGGAAATCATTCACAAATACACGTAGGATATCTTAGCTTCAGATTCGAGTATTTCCTGGATCGATTCGCCATACAACTAGCTCCAGTTAGACCAAGACAGGACTTGACGAGCTCTATCAGATGCACTACTCACTTTTCCGAAATGATCCATCCTTTCGAGAAAATAATCCTAAATACTGCCAAAAAAAAACGTTAAAACTAAAGAAAAACCTGTTCCGATTCGCTCAGGAGCTGGCTCCACTTAGACCAACGTTAGATCAAGATAGAACTCGACGAGCTCTATTGATTTCACATATTACTCATCAAATTCGAATGTGCCATCAATACGAAAAACGCTAATTAGTCCTTTGTTCGTTATTAAGTTTATGAAAACCCTTCGCGATTCACACAGGAGCTGGTTTCAGTTAGACCAACAATAGATGAAGATAGAGCTCGATGAGCTTTATCAGATGCACTAATTAGGGTGTGGGGTGTGGGTGCGTGTGGGTAGATAGTTATTTACTTCATCCGCATCCGCACCCACACTCACCCACCCCACACCCACACCCACACACCCCACACCCAC